TATAAAATTATGCCACTCTTTGTCATGATCGAGGCATACTTGAATTAGTTGGGTGTCAGTTCTATAACACATAGTTTCTCATTTTGGTTTAGTATTAATCACTATGAACTAGATCACAATATGTGAGTGTTTTTGATAAACCATCAAACACCTGTTTATGGATCCCATTTTGGATTTATTTCAAAGAATATGGATGAGTAGACATAATGGATATGACGGTAGTAACTTGATCTCTGTGTTTTAAATAATTATATCTTACATGAATATGATATTTCAGAGCGGTGACTACATTCTTTTCAGTGGTGTATATATATTAATAATTTAGCATGTAGGTCATTAAATAGAAATCCCTTTAATAAAACCTCAATATTTTGACTTTTTATATTAGCTCATTTTTTTTCCATCTATGCCTGTAAGAATCTCTTAGAAGATTTTTTTCATGAATTAATCAAATTATATATATATATATATATATATATGCATTTCACTGAAGGTAACATACATGTAGCATCCTAAAACTTCACACCATTGAAATTGTAAGGAAACAAGTCAAACATCACAAAATCATCTTTTAAGAAGAAAACTAAAAACACAAATCTTGGGTTCTGCCCGCAGACATGATATCTGCAAATAAGGGAGTCTTGAAGGATTTTCAAACGGAAGTGTGTAAAGGTTGCATGTTCTGGATAGCTTTATGAGGCAAACATACCCTTCACTTTATAAGGGTTATCTTGGTCTGCAATGCTAGTTTCTAGGAGGTGATGGAGAGAGATAGTTAGGAGAAATGACTGCATCCTCACTAGGTATGTCCTCATCAGCTCGAGATTGCCAAATAGACCACTATTTCTGATTGGGAAATAATCCCGAAGTTATAAATCGCGTCTTCATCAGCTCGAGACTCGACCTCGAAACTTGAAACTTGAGCTTGGGAACTTAATGAGCTCGAGATATTTTGTTCAGCGTTCGCGCTATTAATTGAGAGTCTTCGGGCTGGTGAAGACGCGCCGGACAAATAGCAGGATATTTTGCCCAAGATATCTTGGGATAATTATCTCAACCAAATATCCCGCTAATTTCAACTGCGGGCTGATGAAGACGCAAATTAGCTGGATAATTTGCGATCAAGATAGTTCAAATAGTGGGTTATTTGGCAATCTCGAGCTGATGAAGACATACCTAGTGACTGCATCCTCATTGGACAGGGGTACGTGTGTGAAGACATCGTTTCATGCAGGCCTCGAAGGTTCCTTCCCCTCTCCTGCAGATTTTCCTTGCCTGTTTTTCCTCCTTGCCTGTAATTTTTCACACTTCAGTTGTAACTTTTCTTGTCTATCTGCATTCATTGACAGACAAACATGATGATGTTATGAAAAATGCAAATACTTTTCATGTAAACTTTTTTCTCTTTTCCTTATAATATAAAACAGTATGCCTTGAAATGGCAAATATTAAGTGTTATATTGATTTATGCTTAATCAAAAGACAGAAGGACACTAATACTCTTTTCACACTGGTTTTGCTTAACCCCGTACTTTGCTTAGCCCCGTACTATCCTTAACCCCGGACTATTTTTTTGGCTTTTCACACTCGCTGTTTTTAGTCCCGTACTAGCGCCTATTCCGGAATAAGAAAATTCCCGCTGTTCTCACTGCATTTCGTTAACCCCGGATATCGTGTATGTTATGATAGGACATACTTCGCATGTGGCCAGCTGCGATACGCTCCATTGCGTAGTACCGGACTATTTTTCGTTTCTGTTCTCATTCATTTGCTTAGCACCGCAATTGCGGGGTTAGCAGGAGTTAGCACCACAATTGCGGAGTTAGCCCTGCTATTTTGCAGGGTTAGTTAACCCCGTACTATAGGTGGGGTTAGCCAACTTTAGCCCACTTTGGTAAAAACCAGTCTGAACAGAAAGTGGAATAGGCTTAACCCCGTACTATAGGTGGGGCTAAGACCCCCCCTTAACCCCACCTATAGTACGGGGCTAAGCAAAATATTGCCAGTGTGAAAACAGTAATAGAGTATTATTATCTCAGATATTGGTGTCTTTAATCCCTTGTCTCCTCTCGTTATGGAAAGTGTACTATTGTGTAATTTAAAGATGTAAATTATTAATTTTGTGGTTTTGTTGTTGAAAGTGAACAAATGAAAAATTCAATTTGAAAAATAAAGAAAAAAACTCACACTCTTTCAATGACATCTAGAACTAGAATTTCTAAGAATCACGTCTTGCATGCTTTCTGGAAATTTATTTTCTTTCAGATGCAATTTTTACTATTTTCTATCCATTTTCCTTTTGTGGGTGATTGTCTGATGGTGGGGGCTGTCTCATGATTGCAATCTCTTAAGAATCGGGCCATGTCTTTAATGAATGATTTTCAGGTTATACAAGTGAGATTGGGTATCAATAAAGAGGTGGTAAGGAATAAATAAATAAAGGAAAGAAAGAATAATGTTACAGTCGAGGTCATTGTGCAAAGCATGAACAATTAGCATGTGAATAAGGCATATATCTGAAGATGGCATGATTTTCTTGAAACATGCATTATCAACCATTTGAATAACTTCATTATTTATGACAGTCAAATGTGTTTATGTGTAAATGTTATCCACAGTGAGATGGTCGAAATGACCATTATAGACAGGTGGTCCTTCTAGACAAGTTCTGAAAGACATTTTCTGCTGATGGCAAGAAGCTTTCTGAGTCTTAGCAGACAATATGTTGTACCTGAAGGAAATGGTAAAAGTAAACACTGAAGCACAGGTGGCCTTTCTAGACAGGTTGTACAGGACACTGTTCAGTGAAACTGGCCTCAATATAGTGGTTCTTATGTACCGTGAAATGTTTTTCATATATCATATGTTCAGAGCTAGAAGGGCATGAATTCTGTGTTAAAGATGATATATTTAATGTTGTTTGATGTACTCTGTATTGTAATTTGCATTAACTACATTCTATTATTATTATTATCATTATTATTATTAATGTTAGTACTATAATTATCATTATGGTTATTATTATAAAAATTTGTTATATATTACAAAAGTGATAAAAACAAAGGATGTGAGTCGAAACTCAGATGAATTAGAAACAGATTTTCACTTTATTCTGTCAAGAGATTAGGAATAGCTTGTATTGGTTGTTGGGATGTTACGACACATCGTCAGACACAGCATCGAGATACATATTTGGTAGACTTGGCACATTTTGGATTCTTTAAATTTTTAAATTTTCTTTTTAAAGTGAAGATTGTATTGGTGTATTTGGAGGCACCTTGGTATAATGGTTAATTAAAATGTTTTTTTCTGGTAGTTTTATTAACTAGGAACCACTTGATATAAATATAGCATTTGAAAATCAGATGAATACATCATCTATTGATATCCAGAATGATATTAACTCTTAGATCTATTCCATAGAGTGATACCATTTTACTACAGCTAACTGCTATCAGACAAGGAATTCAAAATTACAATAATCTTGTTTTTTCAGTTTCATCATTCAAATGAGTAAAACAAAGTTACAGGGAGAAAAGAAATAATTAAGTGATCATTAAGATATCACTTTCACAATTATTTATATATTGATTTTGGCATCAGGATTAACAATGTCAATCAAGAAATAGGCAAGATGGATGAGGTAAGTTATGGATAAAACGACCATGATATCAAATTTCTTGTTTTGCATATCTTTACTTTTATAGTGACCATTTTTTTGAGTGGATCTTTCTATAATTTCATTCTTATACAGTACATGTAAAGCAAGTGCAGATATACAGTCAAACCTGCTTTAGTGACCACCTGTCTACAAAGGCCACATTTGTTGTTTCCCTTGAAAACGGTTTCTCATTGAATCATGTACTAAAGGAACCTGTCTACAAAGACCCCTTTTTACAAAGGCCACTTTTGTGTTTCCCTTTGGCGGTTGCTATAGACAGGTTTGATTGTTTGAATCAAGTGAACTTATTTCTCTACTGTATCCCATTCTGCAATTCAAGTGACTCATTTCCCCTGTTTTTATTTAGAAATTTGAAAAGATCTATTGTCATTATTGCGATAGTGACAAATTTTGGAATTCTATACGAATAGATCTGTGTATATTACAACTGTCACTTTAAAGCCCCTCTAAAGTGTTGGGAGCCCCAAATTTGCCAAAACATTGATGGCAAGATTTCACTTAACTTGAATTGTATCATATTAAATGTGAAAGAGGATGTCATTTCAGTAAGGCACACTGTTGCAAAGATTCCCCCCACCCCCCCCCCCCAAAAAAAAAAAAAAAACACACAACAACAATGTGTTTGAAGACAAATATATGATAAAAGAATACATAATTTGGGTTTTTTGTTAATTGTACGCAGCAAACCTGAGCTGTGTATTCTTTCATCAATATTTGACTTCAAATATATTTGTTTTTAAAGTCCTTGAAGAAATGTGTCTTAAATGACATCTTATTTCACATTATGATACACTTTAAGTGAAATTATGCCATCAAATTTGCAGGGCTCCCAACACTGTAGAGGGGCTTTAAACTCTCTTCTATACTTTAATTGACTCTTTCTCTGCTTTCATCTTTGTCACTAACTTTACTAGCATAGAAATTAGTTCATTATAGAATGTGACATATTTAAATCAATTATGTGGTTGTTTGTTTTTGTTTATTGCAGAAGATTTAAGATATGATCTAAATTCCCTTTTTTCTTGTTTTTGACAGAATTTCCTTCAGGCAGTTATATGTTCTAATTTCATCTCTACAGTCAGAATTTGTATCTATTCCTCTGTATTGAAGTGTTTAAGATGCAGCTTGATTTTGGAAAGTCTTTGTGAGCTTGCTTTATTTTCATTTTCATTCAAAAAAACTTTCAGGTTTGATGGATTTTGAAACTCACTGGAAACCGGTGTTCTAAATAAATTGCAGTGACCAATAGCCAGTATGATTTGACCATCAGTAACAGGAAGGATAAACCCTTGTCTTGTTTTATTTTATCTGTCCATAGGGAGGTGCTGTAGTGATTTCAAGCCAGACGAACACTCAGATAGCTGCTGAGCTGGCTATCACCCAACTACCCCCTCACCCGGCCTCTCGACCCCTTCACACCCTCCCTGTATGTGCACCAGGGCCTCACACCAATGGGACCTCCAGTCTAGACCAGACACCAGGTCCCAACAAGACAAGCGTAGAGCCCCACAGCAATCATCTAAACCCCTATCACCAGCCCACCCAGAGGCGCAACACGCTTCCTGCAAACTCATCCCCTGTAAGCTCTTGCAGTAGTAGTCACGCGAAGATACCAGATACGGCCAAGGATGTACCGCTTTCTCTGAAAGCAGGGACCCTTCCCCCTGAGAAGGTGATAGCCAATACCGGTTCTAGCCCTTACATGTACCAGGAGGGGGGTGTGCCCCATTACTGCACCCTCAATCGGAAATTGGCCAACAGCAAGAAGTCACCCAAGCGATTCAGCAGTTCGGGTTTCCCGTGGAGTCGCAACTCAAGTAAAAGCGGAAGGGATGATGCCTCCAACTCATCATCATCACCCAAAGGCACACCGACCATGTTCCAGGATCCTGCACAGGATCTTGTCTTCGCCAATCCTGCAGCCAAAGATGAGGACTGCAAGAAGAATGGTGTCATGACGGAGATCAACCTGAACGATGCCGACGCTCAGTCAACGATCATTCAAACCAAACAGGAGGGAGATAATAGACATGGAGATTACGGGATTGACCTCAACAAGGAGAAGATGGTTGAAAACTCTAGTCCAGTCATTGCAAATATGTCAGACAACAAATGATAAATTCTAATCAAGTGTTAGCATATCTCTCATTGAAGTGAGAATCGTAAAACTCAGACAAATATTTTGAAGGACCAACCAACCAAGTACCCAGTAAAAGTGTTGTGATAGAAGGAATTCATTGTCCAGGCAGTCTCCTGTGTAAAATGAAACAAGGCGGGGATATGATGTCTTTAGCAGTCTTTCCATATGCTCACAAACCTTTGGAGACCATGATCAAATCTGTATCTTTACTCTAAATTCATATGACAAAGATGATACAAATTTGATTGGTATGAATAGGATTATTACCCTCATTGTTCAGTTTTCACATCCCATACTTATAATATCCATCGAAGGTCATATACTGTATATATTGAAATGTATGTAGCTAGAATACTTGCAATATGAATTGAAGATGACACAACTCTCTACATATGTTATTTATTAGTTTAGTTTGTATCAACAATTTTGAACTTTTTTTCTTCCAAACCTTGCTGGCAGGGAAAAACATAATTAAAACTGTTTTGTGAACACTTTGTGGGGGATGGGGATATATTGTGACTTGATATCATTCAAAATAAAATTGGGAGAAGGAAAAACTCATGTGCATACTTGAGGTATGTTTATTGGGTTATATGGGGGGGGGGGGGCACAGGCCAGTTTACCCCCTTCCTAAATCTGCCAGGTTTGTTTCAATGATATTTTATTAAACAGTCAGACATGTGAGAACTAAAACCACCCAACATATATGTCCACACTGCACAGTTGCCTTTGACACATGATTGGATAATTAATCAAATAATCTTTTCTAACAAGGGGTGGATTGTTCTGGATGTGAAAGCTCTGATTAATGCTTGACCAACCCAGTAGTGGTGGATTAACTGTTTTCATGCACAACTATATGTCAGAGGTTTGGTGTAACTGTATTGCCAAATGGGTCACAGACATGGTTTCATAAAGCTAGATAGGCTATCACAAAACAGCTAGGGTTGTCTCCCATAGCTTTGTACCTATAATTGTTTTATCCATTGGAGCTTGCATCATATGTGACTATACTGTGGCAATTATGGGCCGTTGAATCTGTAAGTATACTGATTTGGGAACAACTCCAATCCAGGACCTGACGAAATGGTGAAATGGTATTAGCTTGATTGCCCCCCCCCCCCCCGCCCCTCCCTCCCCCCTTTGCTCTTTACTATGCTTCTGTTCCATTCCCTGAATTTTTTTCTGTGGGAGGGGACGGGGGGGGGGGGGGGGGGGTGATATCATTAAAGTTTTATTGCTTTCTCATATCTTGTGAGTTTTCAATAAACAACAAAATGTAATCGCCAAGTAAGTTAACATATATGCCATTGCCATATAATTCTGCCTTCTTTTTCTTGCCCAGAAATGCATGCATTACATATCTAACATCCTTTTAGTTTTCAATTTATTGTAGAAGATGCATAGTCAGAAGGCATTATGAATAAAGTCTTACATGTGCATAAGACAGGTTTATCATACAAGGATACAGAATCAAGATAGTTGTTCATATGTAAACTAGTATATGACACTGACAGCCTGTCCATGATATATTGCAAGTATTTCTTTACAAGATAAAAGTTTGAGGGAGAAGTTATGTGTGTAATATTGTACAATGTTCCATGAGAGAAAATTCATGCCATGTACGAGTTGTGCTTATTGATAGGTGACTTTCCAGTGCGTAAGGTGCAATCTTTCAAATCAAATAGTACCCTTTTTATAAAGCTTTTATATAATTATTATGTGAGAACAAATTGATGTCAGTCAGAGGTACAACAATAAGTGAATATTAACATTAAACAAATTAAAAACCTTACATTAAAGTGAGTTAATATTTTGTATATTGTAGATTGTAGCATAGTGAGCTATCTCTGTTGAAAATATGGTAGAATACTGAAGATTCTTTCCTATATTTTTATCTTTAAATGTATGTAATAATTGTTTTGAGTCTGTTAGAAAATGTCTGTTCAGAACCAGAAAGACTTAAAATCTGTTTTAAAGGTTATGCCCTTCTGGCTCTCAGCAGATATGAAACATTTCATATTATAATGTTTTTTGCACTTTTGGGAGGTGTGTTGGCTCGGTGGTAGAGCAGTGGTCTGGTAACTGGGGGGTCCCATAGGTTAAAAACTAAGTTGATGCACTAGTGCCCTTTGGTTAGGCATTAATCCTCATTAACAAGTACCTCTGAGAAGACTTAAAGCCATTGATCCCCTGGTTACTTACTTACAACCATATACATGCTTTCTTAGCAGCCAGGTAAAAAATAAACCAACCAATCAACCAATTATAAATCTTTATTAAAACGTCTACAACATAATGTTTACCGTCAATCTAAGGTAGTGTAAGGGTAAAAATTGTATACTATACACCAGAGCAGAGTTTCACGAAATTGTTTTAAGTACAAGTTCACCGACAAACCATTGACATGTGTGCATTAAATTGCACACATGTTACAATGGGACGTCGGTGAACATGTACTTGTGACAGTTCCGTGAAACGGTGCCCAGGTCAAGTTACAGTTGTTGACAAAATCAAGAGACAGGTACCATGTTCAAAACAGGTGCTTAGTACAGGTATGCATAATATTCTATTTCTGTATTCTCATAGGGTTCTAATCAATGCCAAAGTTGTGTGAACATAGTGTATATTTTGTATTCATATTTGCTGGCAAGTAGCAGTCATTGCATTAAAAATTCACACCTTGTAATATTATATTTACATCGTTTAGAGCATGAAATGTCAAGAAATGTTTGTGTTACACTAGGTGTTGCAGGATAGTATGGCGTAAGATAGAAAATATCATTGTTGTAATCTTTATATTTATATTATGTGTAAATCTGGAAAGTTGTGAAATAAATATATGTGAACTTGATCCATTAGTTTCTCTTTCATTATTCCGATAAATATCAATCAGCTTGGTTGAGGGACACTGTGTTTGCAATTAACCTGAATCCATTCCTGTTTAATGTCACTTGCCCAGAAAAATGTCCTAGTTGATTGGAATTGTAAACATTGGTTCCCTTTATCAAATAAAAATTAAGTAAATTTTGACAAAATGATTGAGGGGGAAAGGGGTTACAATTAATATTTAAATATATGTGTTTCAAAATTATTTGTGATGCCCATTTTTTTTTATAGAGAAATGATGGTCAATAATGTGAAGCTTCTGTTCATTTCCAATGACAGGAATTCTTTCTATACTAACTGTATGAATATTCAGTGTAGATGACTATTAAATTGCTAATGAAATGTTATTACCATTCAGAAAACTTTGATTCATATAAACTTTTAGACAGGTTTCAACATGTATTCTCAAAAGCAGTACCTTTAATGCCCTTCCAAAGGTCTAGATCTAAAAGAAGATGAATTTAAGAAGTGACACAGAATTAACGACTCGCATTTCCTTGTTACTTTCTTCCATCAGTGGAAACAAATTACATTTAATAAACTTTTGTTGTCTTTTTCTTTTTTCTTTAAGATATAAAATACAACATACAACATTGGCTCCAAATTCATAGCCAAGATGACATACACATTCCTTCCTAATTATCTGTACATTATGTACATTTTTTCTTCTTATTTTCCTTTTATGGGCACCTTACAGGTTTCTTCTCTAAAATAATGAGTAAATATAACTCACAAATCTAACGGTGAGTTTCTAAAAGAATGCACAACTAAAAAGAAAGGAAATAAAATATGCAAGAGAATTTTGTTTTCTGCAATAAATAAAATGATTCCCTATATCCTCTTACAGGTACCAGATAGATAAGTGGTAGGAAAAGGAAAAACTACACAATGATCATGCATCTATCATATCGATACATAAGTGAAGCATAACATACAAGTATTTTGCCCTCACTCTTAGCTCACAAATACCTTAATTTACAAATAAAATAATAATACATATTTTGATTAGAGAAAGAGGAATCTTTAACAATCAGAAAGTGGATAGTTACTTATTTTCTCTTAGTTTGAAAATGCTTTGAAATACTTATGAACATGGAAATTACACAGATTTATATAATGAGAATCAAAATGAGCAGATCATATGAAGGAGGACAAAAAACATTTAAAAGAAATATTTTACAAAATGTTGAGGACCAGAAGGGTGATAGCTCTGTGATAAAGCTGGATGTAATGCCCTTCTGGCTTTCAACAAAAATGATCATAGAAGAATCTCTCAAGCTTCTTCCATTTTTGCAGAGCTTGAGGACCCAACACTTAACCACAATTTATGAATACTGCTGATTTTCACGTATGCATTTTTTTAAATGAATCTTTAATCTGCAGTAATAGTGTTACTTGAAAAGTTGGCTAACTTGGCTTAAAACATATCTTCACATGTCTTAATCAGTTGAAAAGAAATAAACATGGAGAATTAATTGTTCATCACATCTAATTTGTGAAAATTTGGAAGCAGTCTTTTTTGCATGGATTCATATAACAAGACGACTCAAAAGTGGGTAAAATGCAAACTGAAATTCTTCCAAAAGTCTCTCCTCGTTACAGCAATATAACTTGGGTCTATATTTACATGTACATGCCAGTTTAATAAGCTTTCATTAAAATGTTTCCACACAGTTGAGATTCAAAGCCTACATAGATTTTTCTTCGACGTCGTTTCTATCGCTTGAGCTTTCATCGCTCCCTTCTCGATAATAAACACACTCTTATGTACAAACAATCCATCAGGGTTGGTAGAAAAATTGCCAATCCCTTATCAAACTTCCAATCTCTCTGCAAAATTCTTGACCTCTAATCTCCCTTCTTTAATCCCGTAACACATTTTGACAGACCGTTTTCAACATGTATTCAAATTAATGAGAAAATTTCCTCTGATTTGATGTAACTTCATCAGATTCAGGGTATGAATATTGTACTTGTTGCTATGTCAGCAGAGTTTGAGCATGCTTTGAAGCTTGTTCAGAGGTTAAATCATCTATGAAAGAATGTTACATCACAGAACATCACAAATTCTGAAATAAAAAGAACTGTGGCCTTTCAAGACGTCTCAACTCTCATTGTTCACAAACGAGACTTCTTTCACAGACAAATGATCAATATGTTTGTTGAGTCTTCCTATCCTTAAACAATGGTTTTCAATATAAGAGATCAATTAACTTTCCATATGATCAATTCATATATCTATGCAGAGCTGATAAAGATATCAACATTCATGTTTTCATTCTTAATACAATGCAATCCTCAACCTTATACCGTCTGCATTTAATAATCCAATCTCCTTCAACTCCTCTCACTTCGTTTCAAAGCCTTCTCAATGATAAGGACAAATAATTCCATGTCGAAACAACCAACTATGAGCTATGCTTATGACAAAAACTAAAACAAACAAGTATCAGATATTGTCCAATTGACAAAGTTTAAAACAAGTATACATGTAAAACTCAACCATTTCGACACGGAGCGAAAAAACAGAATCTCCTCATGCTATGTACAGGAAATCATATGCATCGCGTCAAGGGTTGCCAAAAGGCAGATAGCAAATGTTAGTCTACCGCATGTAGATGGATATTTCTCCCGAATGCACCTCATGTTCTTGCATTTCTTTCTCATGCATATCAAAATGTTCACCTGGAAATTTCTACAAAGTAAATGGCCAAAACATCTAACCGCATATATCTTAGGGCTAATATATCTTTATGTACGGTAACCATTGATGGTAGCAAACTTTATCTTCTTGCCTGAGCTTCTAGACTGGGTTAATAACAAAATATTGTAAAAACTTTTGAATTAGATAACCATTCCCTCAAAGAGGACCCCATACACCACTTACACATTGGGATTTCATTTTTCATAAATAGTTAATAAATTTTGAGATCTGCAAAAAAAAAATCCTGAAATTGTTTTCATTACAGGCCTCGTATAAGCAATAAGAGTGCAACACTGGCACAGATAAATATTAGTGAAATTTGATAAATGTATTATGAGAGCTTATGTCTCCCTTTTTCCCTTGACTTGCACAAAGTGGCCAAGCTTGTTTACAAGATTTTTGATAAGGGAATAACAACAGAGCTTTCTCCAGAAAACAGTGTTATTTTGAAGTCTTGTTTGTGCTACTTTTGGAAATTGGATAGGATAAAAAGTACAGCAAAAAGTGTTAGGATAATATCTGGGCCCTGTAACACAAAGAGAAATCCACTTTAATGATGGATCACTACTTTGCAACTGGTCGCTATGCATAATCGATTGGTCAAACGATCATACTAAGCTTTGTATTATGGTGCTAAGGTCTACTACTCAGGTCTTCCATGAATATATTAAGGAACTTTTAATACTGATAAGGGGTAACAGAAGCCCAAATACCAATCATTAAGAATTAAATACTGGGTGAAGTCTAAACTAGCATGCACTACAATATTACGAGTTGAAATTCCAGTGAAAATGAAAAGCAAAGCAAAATTTTCATTCAATGGCGGTATATACAACAATTCATTATCTTGTAGCTGTACATGTGTTATATATTGAGAAATTTATGGATAACTATGGATTGATTTTAGTATGCAGTATGTTCAATCTCAACTTGGAATTGAAAATATGGAAATAATAATAAGCAGCATGTCATTTACACCAATAACAAGACTCACAAAAACTCATTGTAACTGAAGCAAAAGCATGTTTAGTGGCTGAAAACACTCCACACACACGTGGAAAACTTGATCAAATGTCAGAACATGCAAAACGTGAACAATGCTGAAATCTTTAAGCAAATAGAAAACAACATTCAGAATAATGTATCGTCTAACAATACTGCATCATCAACACGTATCAAATGGACTACTGTAGTTAGAGCTTCATTTTGTAAATCTGTAAACAAAATTACCCTTTATTAGTAATTGAGACAGGATCGCCACAGAGAAATCGGCTGTGACTTCTTGCAGTCACATGTCGCTATGGTGAAAGATAATATGAGATACAACCCCTTCCAAGCAATAAGGTCATATATCTCAATAGCTGTAAGGTCATTAATCTCGATACCTGCATTTTAGCATCTGTCATGCCACATGCAGAGACAATATACTAGTAGGCCAGAATCCCACGACTGTTGGGAAGGATCTTTGTATCTGTGGGTGTGATACACGAAGCAGCGACGGGAACGTTGATCACGGATGAGAGGGAAGGAGAGACAGACAGTTGGCAAATGGAGAAGGTGGATGGAAAGGGCATGTATCATACGGTGTAGAGACTCTTTGCCATGGACCCCGTCTTCGTCATTGTGTCTTTATGTGCCTAGAAACCATAACAAGATACATGAGAGAGAGCAATGAATCAAACTGAGATAAATAAGTAAATAAGTATATACATAAATTAATAAAGAGATGAAGCGAGGGAGAGAGAAGGACAAGGAAGAAGATTGTTTGGAGAAAGTGAAAGGAGAAAGCAAGAACGAAAATGGAAGAGTCAGAGAGATGACACAGAGAGAAGAGAGGAGAGAGAGAGAAGAGAGGAGAGAGAAAGAAGAGAGGAGAGAGAAAGAAGAGAGGAGAGAGAGAGAGAGGAACATATTTGTTTTTGTTTTTTGAAAAGACTAAAAGCAGAAGATTAAGCTTGCGTTGCATTCAACTTATCTAAATCTCTTATTAGCAAAGCTGCTGTAGTAGTGTAAGTGTAAATTAAAAAAATTATAAAAAAACTTACCTCATAACCTATTGAGTATTTCGCTGGTAGACCTAACCTTTCTTTGAATTTTCGTCTGTAAAGAAACAAAAAATACAAGAAATAGACGTTAGGCAAAGGCATGTGATGCTTTGGGCTGTATAAATAAAGGCATGGGTTGTTTTTATACGTCTTTTGTGGAGCTATTAGAAATAGTTGCAAACACTGTTTTACAGGGTTGCCCCACTATCAAAAGCTATCTTCCAAACAAATATCCTTATTTTTCATTGATTTGTACTTTCTGCATCTAGGGAATAACCATCAGCATGCATTACCAATCTGCATAACTTCCTAATATGTAAAACATTAACTTGGCCTAATTTTTAATTTGTTGTCACAAAAAATGTAGAATCACATTTCTTGAGGTCTCCCAACGCATTTTTGTGCTTCCATCTACTAAAGTACAGACTAATAGAACCACCATGGGGATATGCCACACTCACGAGAGCACACAGTACATCTAACACGAAAGTCACCGTTCTTGCTTGGTCAGATAAATGCCCATTTCAGCAAGCATTCTGATTTAAATTCCAACAGAAAACCCAAATTATGTATTCTTTTATCAGTATTTGTCTTTAAACACATTTTTTTCTCAAGGGAATCTTGTCAGAAGTGTGTCTTAAATGACATCCTCTTTCACATTATGATACAAATTAAATTAAATTTGGCCTTCAAATCTTTAGGGAATTTTGGGCTCCACACACTTTAGAGGGGCTTTAAATGACGAGTGTGAACTTACCCTATATTGGTTATCGAGTCTTCTTTCCTCCAATCTCCCGTCCACATTGCAATCTTGTTTCCTTTACTCCTAATGTTGACCACTGCACCGTTGACTAGATCTGAATCGTCGTCAAAGCTCTCTCCAACCATTAGCAACATCTAGAGAAAAAAAAATGCATAAGTAGCATTTTAACGTCTTCGTCAGTTGAATGGACCATTCTGTAGCACGACAAATTTGCTGAGCAGCATGCACAATAGGGCACGTTCAAGATAATTGATCATTTTTTGTCCATTAATTGAAAGTGGACGTGCTATCGCAATATTTGCAACCTCCCAAAATAAAAATAAATCCTTTGGAATCATTGGTATCAATAATCAATAATCATTAAAATATTGAAACTTGCATGACTTTAGTATTTACAGATACATGCACTGATCATCATCTGAAGCTCTGAAATATTTGTGCAACCATCAACAAGAAATATCATTTTTCTTGGATGTTTTGTTTCAAGCTCGAGTAGGGCTTTCATTTTAAACCAATAAATCTGATATTCTGAGATGTTATCGGTACAATCAGGGACAAAAGAGCTTGGGTTTGTCCATAACTATGCAAGGACACCATCCAAGCATTTAATTAAATTTGCTCATTTATTACATGTTATATCAACAAGAAGTTACAAATTAATAAATCGCAACTGGATATAGGTTGGTTGGTTTGTTTGTTTTACCCAACAGCTACAAAAGTATATTTATGCTTGTAAGTAAGCAACTAGGGGAACAACAGCTTTAAGTCCTCTCTGAGGGACTTGGTAATGAGAATTAATGCCTTACCAAAGGGCACTAATGCATCATATTCTTTTCTAACTCAGGATCTCCCGGTAACGATACTACTGCTCCAACCACTGAGCAATCGCGCCTCACTAAATATAGTGTCCCTAGTCTGACAAACCCAGTATTAATGGTAAGCTCACCGTTTCTAACCAACATCTGTCTATGTCTTGTGGTTTTGATTTGCGGTCAAACCCTATGAGCCATCTGCCACCATCTTTGTTCTTGTCGTCTTCCCACATGGGTTTTACACCCTCCTGAAAAGAAAGAAAAGGATAGGTGAAATTGAAAGAATTTAATAATTACAATAACAGCAACCAAACTGCATTAAAACCAAGAGGTCATCTCTATTTCTCAAACTTACTGACTCATTTCTCATTTCAAAATAAATAATCGCATGACTTGCACTGAGCATGACTTCAACCAATGTCCAATGTTGTGTTCAGTGCATGTTGGAATTACTTAAGATATGTTAAATACCAAATTCCTGGCCGGCAACCAAAATAAGATTTTAGCTACCCTGACAATACTTTGGAATCTGATTCACATCTGAGTGATTTCATCTGTTCAGAGCCAGAAAGGCAATAGCTCATATCATTTTACATCCTTCTGGCTTCAAAAAGATGATGTGAAATACGATATCCAAAGTTAACTCATACCACAGCAACTCTTATCTTCATTAGATTTTTTGGAGGTATGGACTATGGTGAACGCACTATCAATCAGTTTCAATAACACATACTGCCGCCATTGTCCAAGGAAGTCGGTAGTTAGTCATCACCACTTTATGCTGGTAGTATAAAACGCCTTTTGTAGATAGTCTTCATATATAAGATAAATCATTTTCCTCAATAAACCAATAAAACCTCTAGTAATTCTGATTTCTAATTTTCTTTTTGTTCCATCCTATTTCAGTTTGAACCATCAACAATCTGGTTCACTGATTTTCCTCCTTTCATCAAAGCTTGCTACTAACATGAAATATGAATTATCCCTGACTCTTTATTATTACTTACTGAACCCTAGACTAAAACACTGTTTTCAGTTTTTTGTTGATAAGTTGAAACTGGGAAGGTGCTTATTATTATTTTCATGTGTGACAAAAATCTCATGTGGTAGTCCAATGTCTGTTCCATTAAATAAATGAAAGCAGATAAAGGGTTAGAGTTCTTGACAAGAAATTAGAACTATGTATCCATACTTATGTCCATACCTTGAATAATGAGTAGTCACATCCTGATGTTATTCTGCTGGCAACTTGTATGTGATTATATAGTCTGGAGAAATGAGAAAAAGAAAAAGAAACAAACAAAAGATATTAATTTGCTATTCAAGAGAATGAACAGATTATCATTCTTTGACAATTTTGTTCTTTTTTTAAAGGGGATAACAATTTGTGAATAAGAATATTAACACAACGTTCAGAGATGTGAGTAAGTGACACTTACAATTGCAATGGCAATTACAATGATCCCATCATAACATTTCCTGCCTAAATCCACTCATATTCCACAGTCCACACCATACAATAGTGTACCATATCAATAAATGTCTGTGGTAAACCCTATCAGTTGGCTTTTTGTTTTGCAATTCATATTTACATTCAAAATATTTGGTGAAAACAACTCAAAGTAAAATGTTATGTACTAACTTGTTCATGGGAACTGTTATCTTCCTGTAAGATTTTCCCAGAGATTTTGTCCGCATTGATTTAAAGTTTAGTAGGTTTACAGAGAGATATATTAATCACTTCTACAGCTAAATCCCTTTCTACTCCTGAACACTACCCTTCCCCAATCAACTATCATTAACTTCTGTCTAAATGAATATTCCTGTTTTTAAAATACAAACGAACTTAAATACATCAGTCACACCACCAACCAATTCTACACTGACTCCAAATTAATGATTGTTGGTCATTTGGGGTAATATCATTTTTTTGTTCGGGCTGCTGTGTGTTTTAAGTCAGTCTCACTGGCATGACTTGAGTAAAACCCTTTTACGGGGTCAAGCAGTAAGGCTGGAATGTCATGAAGGAGAGGGTGCTGTACTTACGCCCAGAAATCTTCGACTGTATCGAAGGCTGTGACGGTTCTAAGGTTCTCTGTCCATGATTTGGCTTTGTCGTTCTTGAAGAACCACATTGACCATCTACTCTGCAGCGGATGCTTGATCAGACTCTCTGGATCGACAACCTGGTTGGCGCCATCTTCATCCTGTGTTTGCAAATCCTTTATGCCTTTCCCATCTTTAACAATATCCTAATGAAGAAGGGGAAGAAAAAAAAAGGAGGGGGGCATTATTAGCCAGCTTTTCATACCAAGTTAGGGCTCGAAATTAGCAGTTGCCCGGGTGCCAATGACCAACTAAAGCACCACCGGGCAACCTAAAAACATGGCGTCTGAATATTTGAGCATTCACTTGTAAACCTGGGAGTGTACTTGAGTACCTCATTACACGGTTATGCACATCCTTAGTGTCTGGACAATTTTTCAATCTTCAATTTGGGATCGTTTTTCACCATTTTTTTTTGTGAATAAAAAATGTAATCAGAATAATACATTTCAAATTTCAAGACTCACCGATGTTTCTATCAAAAGATACACCCCCTTCAAAACTCTGCAGTATTTATAGCTTTTGGGTCAGACTCGACGAAAAAGATGTAAACGCAGAGTTATGCTAAATTTAGCCAAACAGCTCCATCACGCAATATGAATGCATATGCAAGCCTTTTATTAACCGGGCGCCGGGCAATTTTTACCCCACGGTCCCTGACTTTTGGCGCCCGGTAAGACGGGGAAAATGAGTACCGGGCGCCGGTCCATTTTTATTTCTGGCGCCCGGTCTGGGAGAATTAACATTTTCTATTTCATAAACTTCCACATGTCTAGCACTAAATGTTCACAAATGTGACAAAAACTTACTTGATACGAGTTAAACGTGGACTGAATGAACCCTAACAAACCATTATATAATGAGAATCCTAATTAAAATCGCCCAGAAAAATTGCAGCACTAAATACGAGCGGCCGCTATCTCCTACTCCTAGCGGAGTACGGAGCACACAATACAGGGGATGTACACCACTCAAAGACGAGCGCATTTCCCCAGGCCATGCATACACACACAAATGACATCAGTGCTGTACTGCACTACACACACAGTGTCGGTACAAGAAAGTCTCGATGTAACTTCCAAAAATCCATCCCAAAAGCCAAATTTTGCTGTCAAAAATGCGGAATCGGAGCCATATTTCCAAAGCTCACGGGGGTTTAGCCCAGTTTTAAGAAACAGTTTCATCAAAAAAGCGCTAAAAATCAAGAAATCAGCGATTTTGTTGCCAGTTTTTTTGCCTATCGCATGCCCTTCAGATGTAATGGTATCTTCAAAAAGCCAAATGAAAATCAGAACACCGGACCTGCTGATGCATTGACTTTATGTACAAAGTTGATTGCAACTCCAGACTTGCCTTGATTCAGCGGCCCTCATACTCATTGACTAAAATTCTGTGATGTTTTAAATAATGGATTTTTCTGATAAAATAGGTAAATATATTTAACAAATCTTTTTTCTTTTTTTTTGTTTTTATTATTATTTTTTTTTTATTATTATTATTTTTTTATTTTTTTTAAAGTGACAGGTCTAAATAACAAACGCGTTAAACAGGCAAAATCTGTTTTTTTTAAACTAAAATAAGCTTTTTCAAGCTGAATAATATGTTTTTTGAAAGTGACAGGTTGGCAGCTCTGCAATGTCATTATAGATGGTTTTTCTTAAGTATTTTTTTTTACAAAAATAATTTAATTCCCCCTTTCCTAACATTTTTCAATTTTTGACATTTAACGGCATGAAAATAGTATTAAACATGAACTACAACAACTACATATGACAGATTTATCCAAGGTATGAGTGATTTAATATTAGAGTGCTCAAAATGTAAACTAGAAATTAAACTACCGTATGTATAAATAAAAGGTAACGTTTAACAAATAATTTAAAAGAATACATATTTTCATCCATTTTGGAAACGGCTCCTGGTCCTGGAAAACGGCTCCCGGTTCTCTAAAAAAATTAAGGACCGGGAGCCGCTTTTTCAGATATTTGGCTCCCGGTCTGCTTTGACTTAATAAAAGGCTTGTGCATATGCATAGCGTACGCATGTTGCTAAGCTGAATGCGCAAAACCTGAGCAGGTTGTATCCGCGATATCGACATTGACTATAACGTGTACTCACTTCCGGGTTGGGAGCGCGATCTGCTAGCCAAACCTTCATTCAATATAACTTGCATTCACTTCCGGGTTTCATTCGTACGCGGTCCTAATGCATATTTATGTGCAGTTGTTACGCGATCTAACCATGGTTTGGACTGAGCGGAGCGCACGCCTCACTAATTAGATGATCCAACAAATAGGGGTAGGGGGTTTGAACGATTTTTCAATTTTCAATTTGGGATCGTTTTTCACCATTTTGTTTGATATTTGAATTAAAAATGTAATCAGAATAATACATTTCAAATTTCAAGTCTCACCGATGTTTCTATCAAAAGATACAGCCCCTCCGAAACGCTGCAATATTCATAGGATTTTGCTCAGAATCAACGAAAAAGACATACGTACGCAGAGTTATGTTGTTTTGCTAAATTTAGCCAAAACAGCTGTATCGCGCGATATGCAAGTGTATGCATAGCGTACGCATATCATGCGCAACTTGCAGCTTGAGCCACGCTGTCTCCGCGATATGTGCCATTGACTAGTATGGCTAGCCGTTCGCGCCATAGAACCCGGAAGTGAATCCACGTTATAGTCAATGGCAATATCGCGGAGACAACGTGCACGTTGCCATTGACTATAACGTGTATTCACTTCCGGGGTTTATGGTGCGAACGGCTATCCATACTTTCATTCACTATACGGGCAGATGTTACGAGATCTAACCATGGTTTGGACTGAGTGGAGCTCACGCCTCCCTAATTAGCTGATTCCAAAAATGTGGGAAGGTTATTTTCAAACTGTTAGGCCAAATGATCCCTTGGGGCTAGCGAAAAAAAAAGCACCTGGATATTATCCTTACGTCTAGCCCTACTTAAGCCGCGGGGGCGCATTTCAATCGCTGTTTTGACCAAGATATTTTTAGAATTCTGGGGGTGGCCCCCTATGGGGAATATGGAGAAAAACCTGCTCTTTCATATGACACCTCATTTATTGAGTTTCACCTTCAGGATCATTTGTTATAAAGGTTTGAATTTCAGATTTGTTCATAAAATCATTGACCAATTTTGCATGGTCGCGCAATGCACGTAGACCACATAGGGATGCGTACAATCTCTATGAGAAGGGTTTTAGCACACAACATCGGGTGCGCGATCAGACACACTAATAGGGGGAAGGGTATTTTTAAACTGTTGGGGCGAGTGATCTTTTGGGGCTAGCGAAAAAATAAGCGCATAGATATTTTTCTTATGGCTAGTCGGACATAAGCTCGAGGGCGCGGTTCAGGAAAGTGGCAAGTTTTGGAGCTAGGATGCAAACAACATTTCAATCACTGTTTTGACAAAGATATTTTTAGAATTTCGGGGTGCGCCCCTTTGAGGAATATGGAGAAAAACCTGCTCTTTCATATGACACCTTGATGATGAACCCTAAAGGTTCGAATTTTTAAATTTGTTCATAAAATCATTGACTAATTTTGCATGATCGCGCAATGCACGTAGACTGCATAGGGATGGGTGCAATCTCTATAAGAAGGATTTTAGCACACAACATCGGGTGCGCGATCAGACACCCTACTAGAGTCAATGAAGCATAGGTGAATGATTAGCGTTCATCATTCGGCACTAGATGGGAGGATTGCGCATGTACTTGGTTTAGGTACGTAAGGTGAGCTCAATCTTTGCTGTGAGCTGGCTGCATTGCATTGATTTTGACAAGGGTGGATTGATAATTGATATCATACATTTTCGCGGAATTGTTTTCTTTGGCGCTCCGCGAGTGTAGGGTTCCCGATCCGCGCGCTGTCAATGCGAAAAACGAAGTCCGTGTAATAAAAATAGCCCCAGTTCACTGTCTATTTTTACGGGTTGTCTGTCTTCCCGAGGATCTATTGTTCATAAAACGTGGAAGTCTCTGTGCAAAGTAAGTGTGAAATGCATCAAGAAGCGTAATCGCGTAATCCGTTTTTCGCATCGCCAACATGCGGATTGGAAATAAGAATCGTCTGCGAAAATGTGGATGATCCTTATTTTTTAGGATGGGTCTGTCCGCGTTTACAAAGATTTTACTCGTTTATGCAGACAAATCTTATTCTCGGACCAGCGCCCCTACCGATGATGAAATTAGGTCCGCTGAAGCCTGGAAATGATCAAAATGCTAGATTGATGTCCAGACATTATTTTTAGCTATGTAAACTCTCAAACTCTTAAACTCTTTTGCTCACATTTACCCATGTAAATGATGTAGATCTAGACCTACCTACCGGTATTAATTTGCAATGCCTCAGTTTCAATTTCACACACCAAATCACACACATGACATGCACATGTACATTCACACACAGTAAGGCACTTCAATGAACGTGGCTATACAATGCCTTTTTTATATTGCACATGTTTTTTTCAGCAGACTACCGGCGAGAATTATCACCGTGCTCTTCAACTTCTACGTTCTTAAGAAAAGATTAAACAATAGATACGTAAAATACATATCAAATAGTGTTAAGTATTTATCAACTGAATCCAAGGGTACAGAAATAATAAGACTATTACCTCGTGAAGGGGAAGCTTTGCTACACCAACGGAAGCCATTTTCCTTATGTTCCAATTTTGGCCGTCTGTCGTAATGTCACGTGGTACAATCGGTACAATCAGGTGGAAAATAGAATTGGTAAATGACCATCCAGTATAACATAAACGTCAGGCAACAGAAGCAGAAAAGGAAGAAAAACAGAATGGCGGATTTGTGAAATTTTACAATAAATCAGTAGGACCAAAGCATAAGAAAATAATAAACTTTCAAAGACTTTGTCAACACGAAAATTCTTTCGTACATGGGAGCAGCAGTATAACCAGTAATTACAGCACTGCTAAACATCAGATTATCGTATTTTACTTGCTTGACCCCCCCCCCAAAAAAAAACAAAAAACTTGAGGACCAACACCTCATAATTCGGCGTCGAATGAGCTGCCAACATGTGATTTTCATCTGGGTTTTTTTCATGAGGAAATACAAAAAAATTAAACTCAAAGCCAGTTTTTTCTTTTTATCTAAAAAATGGAAAATTCAAATCCAGGAAAGAGGTGTCAACTCCTTGGTGACAATATATCCGAAGACCTATGCAACCAAATGTGTGAATTATTCCTCTAATTATCTCTAAAGTTCTTTTCCTCTGCAGTTTTTCAGTGGATTTCAGTCAGACTAAATTCGGATAAAGGTTTCTTATTTCGATAATTTTCAATGTAATAAATAAATAATGTCAATTTGCAACGTGATTATTATAAAAATAACTCTCGTCCTTTTTAGGAATGTGATTAACAATTACTCGTTCCCTCAATTTCTGTTAAGATTATTAAATAAAATTAATTACCTATATAGTTACGACGCGGGGCCTATATAATTAGTCACAACAGGGAGGTGAGACTATGTCTTCGCCTCCCTGCATGGTCACAAGAATAGCTTTCATCTCCACATTTCACTCTTCTTTTTTAGTTATTTAATTTAAAATAAAAAACAATTGATATGAGGTTCTCACTTTCTGTTTTTGTCTCTGTTAATAAAATCCAATTTATTTGTACCATTTTTACATATCTTTTGTTATCTGTTTACATAGGTTCAAAACAAGGTGAAACTGTAATAAATTGATATTTTGTTATCCTTAGATTCTTATTAATTTCATTTCAAAACGAATTGAGGCGTGCCGGAAAAAAGGAAAGAGAAGAGGACGAGAAAAGTATATAGGAAAAAATGTTATTGGCATACACCAAGGACAGAGGGAACGGGAATGAGGTATGTGTGTGTTGACTATAGCATGAGTGGTGGAAAGACAGAAAGTCTTTTGTTTTGTGTTTTTTGTTTGTTGGTTTTAATAATAATTCTCTTAAGGTGTAGTCATATACTATGCTTCATTTATAGGTTATTACATTTCATGTACAAAGCATTGTTTGATTTTATTTTTTTGTAAAAAAGTATGTACCGGTATATTGTATTTTTAATATTGTTCTTCTGTATACTACTTTGGATGAAAAAGAAATTGTACCAATTTAGTTTTGAGTTTTATAGCTGATTTAACTTCTGAATTATGTAATTTATATTTACTTTGTTTTTATTGCAATGACGAACCTTCGTCATTGCCTTGTTTTCGTTCACATTCTGCCCCATTAATATTCTCCTCCTTAGTATCGTCAGGAAATCGCATTCGTTTTGCACGTAGTGTTTGTGATTCCTAGTTAGGTGCTTTCCTCATGTCCTTTTCATTTCAAATTTCATAGGCATAGTCTCTAGCATCTCATCAAGGTCACCTACTTTTTCGATTTTCGAAATCACTCATGCATAACCGTCCAGGCGCCATTTTGTCCGTTTCTGGTGCATTTTAAGGCCTTTCTATCTTCCTTCCTATCTCCACTATCCTAGATCCTACAAACTTCTAACAAATTCCTCTAGATAGTCTGAGAGATGTTCTTTCATCTGCGACGTATAACCTGCCCTTCAAAATGCCATCTTCATACTCAAAATTCAAATCTAAAACCGACTCCGTCAAAAATCTCTCAAGTTCTTGAAAAATGGACCCCTAAATAATCTAAAACTGCCATAACTTTCTCATATAAATTCTGTTTTGTATTTAAATCTCACAGTATCTTTATCTCATAATTGCACATAGCCATGCCAAATTTCGTGCTCCAATGACTATGCACAACATAAATAGCGCCCTCTAAAGTTCTGGGAATTGGCTTTCTGTCTGTGGCCGTATCTCCATAATGGCTTGGCAAACCCGTACCCTTTTTTTGATTTAGATACTTGAAGATATGCCCTTTCCAGCCATATACAAAATTATATACCCTATCACTGACCAAATTTGAGAAAATTGCCCTCCAAATTCGCCATTTTCAAGAAAATTGAGAAATAACTTCAACTTGCTCTAAAATGGCGATCGTTATACCTACATCAATGAAACTTTGCAGACATATGTATCCATATACGTGATAACTGTTTACCAAGTTTGGTAAAATTCGAATATGTCAGCGCAAAACTATCGCCAAAAATGATGAATTTACTATGGATTACGTAATAGCGCGTTCAATGCGCGCAATACATTGCGCGCAGTTAACAATGGTGTCAAACTGACCGCAATGAAGTGCCCTTTCGGATGATACCAAGTATTATATATGTTCACACAGAAAATTGTGAGTAAATCGCGTTTGAAGAAAGATCACTACACGAATTCCGCCGAGTTTCCGCCCGAACCTAACACGTTTCGGCTATGACGTCATTTTTTCAGACTGCTTTTCGCCCCTTAAACGTCCTTTTTTTTCCTTGAAAATTTGCAGTGACATGCCGAGTTCCAATACACAGGGCACCTCTTGGCCGGATTTTTGAAATTGGTCAAGGGGGCCATTTAAGACGCCATTTTGTCCTATACATCTATTTTACATCACGTGTTTCGATAGGATTATCATAGAAAAAAAAGAGAGTGGTTTACAATAACAACCATGAAATTCTCTTTCTAATGATACCAAATACGGCCCATAAAGAGACGTAAAGAGAGAGAGAAAAAACAATTTAACTCCGGCCATAATACAGATCCTGCACGTTTTCCGCCCATTCATTACACGCATTGTCTATGGGGCATATCGGGTTCACGCTTTTGGCCCCCAGAACGAACTTGATTGCAATGTCAAACATGCACCAAATCCCATTGGTTTGTGCACGCAGTGCTTGCGAGCCCTTTCTAGGTTCTTTCCCCTATCCCAATTTCTTTCAAACTTCGTAGGCATAGTCACTACCATCCCATGAAGGTCACTGTTGATGCCTTTCTTTCGCCCTACCTATCTCCAATATCACAGAAGCTACAGACTTCGTGCAAATTGCTCTGGATAGTCCGAGAGAAGCTCTTTCGTAGAAACACGGCGTCATTGCACGCACATCGTTCCGACACGATTGCATTTCTAGTTTATACTATTCCTGTTCGGAGAAATGAAATATTTCATGAAAAATAAAAAAGGGGCATTACATCTACAAAGGCGTAGATTTTTTAAGGGGAGGTGTTTTTTGCCCAATTCGATAGAAAATATTTAGCGGCGAATCATATAAATCATAGAGGGGGGGGGGGGGGGGGGGGGGGAGTGAACATTTTTTTTTTACTCAACAACTACCCCCCCCCCCCTTTGAGCAGAATGTTTTGCCAGGGGGGGGGGCATAGATAATATACAGATAAGGGTGTCTTTAAATTCTAAAACACCCCTTTTTGCCAAGGGGGATGTTTGAACCCCTATAACACCACCCCCCCCCCCCCCGCTACGCCAATGTCTATATGTAACAGTATATGTGTTAATGCCTAATTTGGGGCTCTCAACAGACGGTAATATCATATTGATGCCTTACGAATCGAACGAAATAAGGTGAAATAATCAGTGGCGTATCTATAAATCGGTAAAACAAAGGAGGGGGGGGGGGCAGAATTCATCATCAGTGCCCGGGGTGTTAATGTATTAAGTTGCTTTGTATACAATATAACCATTGGAAGTTATATTCTGGTGAACGGCCGGGGGGGCAGGGGAGGGGGGCAGGGGAGGGGGGCAGGGGAGGGGGCCCCAATTCGGCGAATTAGCGGCGAAACAGCCAGCCGGTGAATAAGCAGGGGGGGGGGGGGTGGGGGTAAGGAGCTATTTAACAAAAAATGATTTTGCCCCCGAAAATCATATGGCTCCGTTTAGTCTCATTTCACGACGCCCCCTATCGTCAGAGCATGGTCAGCGTCAGCAGCCTAACATGTTAGCCTATGGACGTTTTTTTTAAAAATCGTTAAAAATTCATTTTTGTTTAAACGAAAAGCACATCCACCCCGACGTACGTTATCACTAGCTCTTTCATTTGAGCCCTCATGTCTCATTGACTTTTGAAAGTTCACCCACCGTAATTTTTCAAAATAGGTTGCAAGCTCGTCATATTGCCTATATAATACACATGTGAAACAAGTCTAACTTTGGACTCAGTTTACCAAGCGATTTGAAGATTATAGGTCGAGCACACGAAACATAAAACGCATGAATTATCATAGATCACTTCTGCCTATTTCATTATGTCCATTTCATCCAACCCCCCACCGTAATTTTTCCATTTAGTAAAAGCAAACATTTTGCCGAGTTTAGCAAAAATATGAATATTCATGAACGGTCAGACAATACAGCCTTTTAGGACGTATAACGTATAGTGAATGGGAATGGGCGATGATCCGTTCAGGAGGTAGAGGTCGATCAGTGTGCTGGCAATGTTCACGCGAGCGAAAATGAGACAATCGGAGCAATATCGCGCTGCCAATATCGGGCTGGGGGGGGGGGGGGGGGGGGGGGGGGGGGGGGTAGTGAGCACTAATTTTTGTTTCGCGCCCGAAAATTAAAAAATCTCACCCCCCCCCCCCCCCTCGGGTCCCATTTCAACATAAATTTCACTGAACTCATTTAACATGGTCCGTTTTTTCAGAATTTCCAGAATGTTTGGTTGTTTGCACACTCCTTGTGAAATATAGGCATTTATTAGGGACCCCCCCCCCAAATGACCCTTAAAAATGGGCAGGGGTTTTGAGGCTTGAGCATAATGACACCCGTCCGAACCCAATCTTTTATCCCCGCCCTCCTCGGGGTTTGGAAGCTTCGATCGCCCTGTTGGCTTACTGGTTGCCTAGCCATGCGGCTAGACATACGGATGTGTGCCACGCTAATGGGTCACTTTTCCACAAGAAATCCCTAAACATGGGTCCCATTTTTAACAAATATTTCACAAAACATTGGTCCTTTTTTCAACTGAAATGATTTTTGGTTGTTTGCACACTCGAAAATTGTGAAAAATGGGCCTTTATTTCGAGAAAAATCCTCCCAAATGACCCTAGAATGGGTAGGGGTTTCGAGGCTTGAGCGGCACAACCCGTTCAAACCAAATCTGAGTACCCCCCCCCCCCCCCCCCGGGGTTCGGCAGCTTCGCTCTGTACTGGTTGCCTATCCATGTAGCCTCATGATAAAAATGAACGACTTGGGGAAGGAAAACATTCTGTTGCAGTGCGTGGCTAATTATTTTTGGGAACTATACGTATGCTGGAACGAGGTACCGGTAGCAGAAGACTTCAAATAGGATTTCGGTATCATTTGGACTTGTCTCCTGAGCAGCTGAGGTCAACTGCACATTTCAAAATGGCAGAAGGAAGTGAGCAGAAATCACTGCAAATTTTCACTGTTGATGCTTTTGCAAGCGCTCCTTTCACGGGAAATTCTGCTGCTGTGTGTCCCATTTCAAGCGCCAAAGAGGTAACCGCGAGTCCGGAGCACCCAGCGGGATTGGCAGCCGGGTGCAGGCGGCACGGTGCATCCTGAGCTACCGCTAGTCGGCAGTTCAGGATTTTTATTTGGCCAACGCATTTAATCATGACCACGGCCACCGGGCCACGCCCATTGGACGATGGGTCCCGAGCCGAGATTAGAAAGTCTTAAGAACTTATTGGTACTAGTGTTTTGGTACTTAAAAATTTGTTCAAAAATCATGAAAGGGCTGAACGATTATACCAATATTAACAGTAAATCATGGTGGTAGACCTAGGTCTTCTCATGACTATCGATCATTCATGGATCGTGGTGATCATGATCGACTCACGTCGTGTCATTTTTGTTTTTCTTTTAATAATTGACTGGGTCTTTTCTTGTGGAAAAGGTGGGCGCGGGGGGGGGGGGGGGGGGGGGGCGGGGAAGGAGAGAATTCATGATAAAGTAGAAAGAAAAAAAACCTGATGAAATTTATCTAAATGCAGTGTTTATTAATATTTCAAACTTATCTGTTTTCAAGTCTGTGCACCTTGCTAATATAATAATGCACTACTCTTTATTCTTTAAGAAAAGCCTTTAATTTTCTTATTTTAGGGGACATTGCTATTGGCTTAATGCACTTAATGTGCCATTCTTAATCCTATATGCTTCTCTGTTTTTTTGTGTTTTCCCCCACTTTTTTATTTTCTAAGGTGCAGGCTTGGGACCACCCTTTACTTATGGCATATTATACAGTGGGGCACAAAAAGGCCCTATACCCATTATCTGTGCTCTAGATCTAGTGCAGTTGGCATCTCCCTTTAAAATTTTAGATCCAAAAATAAATCTAAAAACTCTATTAACCATAGCTGCAACAATGAATGTGATTAAATCTGTCCTTAAACATTGCACTAACTGCAGTTTCAATTTCTTCTTTCCTTTATTTTGTTTTGTTTTTGTTCCTTTTTTCTGCTTCTTTTTCTTCTTCTTTTTCTTCTTTTTCTTCTTCTTTTTCTTCTTTTGTCTTTTTTTCTTCTTCATCTTCTTCATCTTTTCTTCTTATTGAACGTTGTGTTCTTTTGTGTTTTCCTCTTCTTTTTCTTTGTGCTTGTTCTTTCATCCTTTGCTTGTTGGATGTTAATTAAACCTACATGTATAAATAATCTTTCACCTTGGCATCTCTCCTTTTGGACATTCCATTTCATGTTTTGCTCTGGTCCAGGTCTGGAGGGACTTGACTCATATTGCCTTTAGCTCTCAACAATTGTGTCTTTTTTTTATGACCACAGGACATCCCAGATGACATGAAGTTCAGAATCGCCATGGAAATGAATCTCTCTGAGACTGCATATGTTCATCCGGCAAAGACAGGAGAGACATTCCAGGATGGTAATGCAAAGACAGTTTCAGATCAAGGGGAGATTCCAGGGGGGGGGGGGGGGCTCACATGGGTCTTGCCCAGTTGCCCCTCCTTTTTAGGGGGGGGGGGGCCTTGACATTAATTTTTGAGTAAGAATTTACAAAAATTCTGCTGTATTTTCCCTGATTTGCTTGTCGGAACATTCAAATTTTGCACCTTCCCCTTTTACAAAATTCTGAATCCCCCTAGTGTGTCACCCCTAGTTACATAAATTCTATGTTTTAAAGTCCTTAAAATATTTCAGAGGTGAAGTTATATCTATTGAAATCCTGTTGACTTCCTTTTTCAGTATCAACCCTTTTGTAATGATTCTTATTGTTTTCTATGGATGCTTGGGCTTTGAAGTTTAAAGGCATCTCTGATAAATTTATCTGAAATACCAGAACTTGTTTTGAAAAGATTAGCCTCTATAATGTGCTGAAAGATTGGTATTTCAATGTAATCCCCCCCCCCCCCTCCTCGAAAAAGAAAAAGGGATCGTAGATTCTTTTATGTAATAACAGAAGAAAGTAGCATTTGGGTGTATTTGCAATGTGACTTTACATATTGCTTGAATAACAAATCGCCATTCTATAGTGTCTGTTGACTTCATTTTTTTAACAAAGAATTTGAAAAAAGATGCCAATGACAGAAAAAATGACAGTAATGAAAACAAAAAAATGAGTGGAATTTCCTTTAAAAATTAACTTTAAAGGAAAAAATACTTTTTTGGTTGACATTTAGAAGTATAGCAAGTTATAAATGCATTGTAAAAGAGAGGTGGAACTGGATGTATTGTATATCAATTTGACAGGATTTTTTCCTGGCCTGGCCTTTGACCCTAATTCCGAATCGGCTTCTGTTTATGTAGGCGAAGAGTTTCCTTTGTTTCCCTTTTTTAGGCACTTACAGGAGTATCAAAACAAACTGTTAGTGACCTTCCTTTGTAAAATATATGGGTTATTTAGCAGTATATTGAGAAAAAAGATTGAGCCAAGATTAAAAATAAGAATTGACAGACAAAGAGAGATTGAATAAGAATTGAAGTAATTAATGAAAATATTTGTACCTTCAAGTTTTAGTTTTTAAACAGTATAATTGGTGCTAATTGACTGAATATTTGTCTTTTTTAACTGATTTCATAATTCTTTTTAAGTGTTTCCTAGAGCTTTCATTTTGAACATTTTAAAAATTTGTCCAAAGGAAAATATCAGAGGTCCTTGTGTACCATGCCCCTATTTGCATTCAAACATATATTTTTTTTTGCAGGGGGGGAGGGGGGGGGGGGGCTTTCAGAGTAAATTTGTGGGTTCATGGGTACCCCACCCTTCAGGTCGAGCCTCTGATACGGGACAAATATACCCACTTTCTTATCTGAATGATGAAATTTTTCTTTATTTTTGTAATCTTTTCATCAGCTTCTGAGTTCAACCTGCGCTGGTTCACCCTACCAACGAGGTCAACTTATGCGGACATGCTACCATGGCAACAGCTACTGTCATCTTTAGAGCATTAGGTAAGATCAATATTGTTTGATTGAAAGCAATCACAGGCATACCAATATTTTTTCTTTCTTTCAGGAACAGCAATTTCTTGGAATTGATACAGAAGCACAGTATGATTGTTAAGTAATTTGTTAGTCATATGCCTGGTGAAAGAAAGTTGACCATTTTGATGCTTTGAAGAGTTTGAAAGGTTTCTTATTGCCCAAACTACTGAGCTACTTTGCTTCCCTCGGTCATATTTTGTTTATTTTAGTATTTGTTTGTTAGTATCTGTTTGTAAGTGAATAACTAGGTGACCGTCAGCTGTAAGACCTCTCAGAGAGACTTGGTAATGAAGATTAATGAATTACCAAAGGGTACTAGCGGATTGACTTGGTTTCGAACTCTGAGACCTCGCCTCCCTTAAAGAATCTTTGGCCTTCACTATGGATCGTCCCCATATTAAGCAGTGAAACACCTAAAAGTGCCTTCCATGGTAATATCATGGTAATATGAAAAACCTTCACTCTACGTGAACACACAATTCCGTTGGCATAAACTCTGGTCATCTCAAAAGGGGACATTTTGTGACATAATTAAGTGCCTCTGTGTGTTTGGCCCTTCAAGTTTATCCTCGGTTTTTCTGAATTTGATTTGTTTTGTTTAGGAAACCAGGGAAGTGAGCTGAAGTTCAATACTCTGAGCGGGCAGTTGGTAGCCAAGAGAGACGGACAGCTTATAACACTTGACCTCCCACTTAACCCATGCGGTCCTCAGGTAAATCTATGTTCTTTCTATTATAGTTGATGTAGATTTTGAGTACTACTACTAGAGTGCATGTTCATAATAATTTGGATTAATAGGGCTTAATACGAAATACCATCTCGAAGCTCTTTACAAATGTTATTACCCCGGTCATCTGATTCATTCACTCACAATGTGCACCATCTCCACTCTCTGGGGACTGTTCCTACCATAAGGTCACCCTGAGAGCATGGCAATTACTAACACAAAGGCTGGTGTCATCCTACCATGTCCCCATTTCTCTCCTGGGTATGGAGTGGCAAATGTAGATAAATGGCTTGCCAAAGGCTATTAGTGCTGGTTGAGGATAGAACCCACAACCTTTGCATTTCAAGTCGAGTGCTTGAACCACTCAACTATGACACCTCTACCTTATGGCACAGGCATGTTTCTTGCATCTCTATCCTGATGGTCATTACTGTGGGGCTCTGTGAACTGTCTGTAGGTACTAATATGTCTTGAAAAAAAATCTTCACTTTTGCATTATGCAATATAATATTTGGGTTCTCTCTTTGATTGTATCAATCCAGGTTCCACAAGGTCTTGATGGATTAATACAGGTAACTTTATTTCATATTTTGTAATAATGATACTATAGGTCATTAGAATTTGCAAAATATGCACCCACTGGTGAAAAAAATACCCTGTCAACTTAGGATTTACGTATCACATTAGCAGACAGATGGAACTTTTATGATGCAGATCAAACAGAAAACATATGACACTTGGAGCACGAAACTCTGTAATTTCAGCAAGCACCGTTGTCACCTTTTATCTTCAATGTATATATTTAATTTTGTTTGCTATCAGAGTTGATTAAGTTCAGTATTTGCTCTCAAAGTCCATGCTTCCCTATCTTCATATCCTGTATGTTGAATTAAATATTTTGTTTGCAATTTTGATGCAGGAATCTCATTCATTTGTGCCCTATCCTTTAGATCCATTTCAAACCAATCCATAATTGTGAAAATTCAAGTATATCTGCTTTGTATTGTGAGTTTTGTGACTCTGTTATTTTTTGTAATGCAACAAAACTTATAATCCATATATATTTTTTATTGAATTTGTCGTTAATTGTAAAATAACATGACAGCACTTGGAAAAATCATAATTCATACCAATAATACCAGCGTGACCAATGTATTAAAAATGATTAGGGCGTAATACAGTGCAATGCAAAGTAGCAGTAGTCCAGAAAGAAGAGAGAGAAAGAGAGAGAAATAAACTTGTTACCTTGCCTATCCGTCTATCTTTCTTACCCCTGAAACTTTCCAGGAGGTTATCGGTAGTTTGACCGTCCAAGAAATCAAGTATTCACCGGGATCTTGTAAATTACTGCTCAGACTAAAAGATGACATAAGAAGGTGAATAAAACAAAATTGTTGATCTTGGGGGCTCTTCTTTGTATCACTTTCTTTTCTTTTGAGCTTGCCTATCCTATAAAATAATAATGGTTGGGTATTTACCTGCTAACAGATAATTATTGGTTAATACTTTCCATTATGAAATATTCCTACATTTGAAGTGAAAACTGAGTTGCCTCTGATAATATTTTTCTCTTTTTCTTCTCTTTCTTAACAGCAAAGTGTCTTTTCTGCTTTTCTCTCTTTTACTAATTACGGCTTGAGCAAGGTTTGCCTGATCAGATTTCAAATAGATTTTAAAAGATGTGATTATAAGGCACCCAGGCTTTAGTTTTGTTGGTCTGTATAATGTGGCTGTTGTCTATTTCTGGGTTTTCCCCTCTGTTGCAGTCCCCATTCCCACCCCCTTTCTCTATCGCTCTCTCTCTCTCTCTGAGATAGTCACAATCATCAACATTTTATGTTGTAATATATTAAGCACTATCTTTATTAACTTAATATAACTTTATTATAATGAACTGGCGTTACGTACACATATTGGGGGAAAGGAAGTAAATATCTCTTTTTGAAGAGGAGAATACATACATTTTCACATCTAATATTTCTGTAACATTAAATACCTTTCTTTGTGCTGTGAACCTGACACCCTCTCTACGTTTGCTAATACACCTGTACTAAGCATATATTTTGGAAGGATGAAGGATGACTATACCATCTTTCAATATAGGGGTGTTTCGTGCAATCATCGTCTATGAAGAGCTTGTATTATTGTTAATTGTATTAGGAGGCTCTTGGCGGCATCAAACCAGTCGATCTTCAGCATGCTCCTGGCGCTAATGTAGAACTTATAATGAGGCTACCAGATGAGGGTGGAAGGTATATTATCTTTCCTATTGAATCACCCCCTCATGGATAATGTATTAATCCATTTGTTCAATAATACTTACAATGTGGACTCAACCACTACACAGTAGGGATGTGAGGGGCTCATTACTGCATGAAATAATTATCCTATACCACATCCACCCCTGTTATAGAATGGTTTGTTCCACATTTCATGCGTGAATACAATAAAGCCACTGCATGTGATCCAAAGCCCATAATTGGATGTATGATTTTGAAATTTTAATGGACTAGAACATTTAGCAATAAAAGGGGTTACCTTTAATTTTGTAGGAGGTTCTTGGTAACTTGAGGTCATGCGATACTCAGCATGCCCCTGGTGGTGACCCTGATATTCTTTTAAGAATTCCAGATGAATGTGGCAGGTATCTCTTTTCTTTTCCAGCTCCTATAACCTTTTTTATTATTAACCAGAGGAGACAGATGCATATTAATTCAAAATTTATTTACTGATCTACATTGTGTTTGTGGTGCTACTTCTGTCTCTTTCTGTTGCCACTGATAACGGTTTTGATTGGGTAGAGAGACTGCACATATTGATATCCAAGATCTGTATCTGCCAAGCTTTCCATGTCTTTTATTTATTTACTGAATCTTTGATTCAGAAATGTTCAAGTCTCATTCCAGTGGGAGTAAAAAGCTTTTTGTTCAAAATTGCGGCGATTGATGCATGTAACCTTAATTTTTTTTTTTTTTTGGGGGGGGGGGGGGGTGCTAAAGCCAAATTGAGCTTGTTTTATCATGTGCCGTGATTTGAGAGTTCACGTATTGCGTGCATTGAATGGCTGCATGATCGAGCAGCAAATTTGTATTTGCTTTTTGATACAGATTTACCACGTATAATTGCCAGTGACACTGCTGCTGCAAGTTCGATTTCTTATTTTCAAAGGCATTCTGTGCTAAAAATTCTTATTTAATTCTTATTTTCAAATGTTGGCAGGTACGGTAGCTACATGAGATGAATTATACATTAATGAGATACTGTAGGCTAATCTTATTTTCTTTCTTTTTGTTTTACATTGTTTTAGAGCCTCACTTGAAGGTTTAACCCTAACATTGGCAAGTTCATGAGTCATCACAACAACGGGGAGGTCAAAGGGGTCATCGTCACGGTGAAGGCGAATGGAGAGGTCAACGAGGATGGGACACCATATGACTTCTTCTCACGCTACTTTGCCCCATGGAATGGAATCCCAGAAGATCCTGTTACTGGTAGGTTAATGATGAGTAGTTATGATGATGGTGTTGATGATGGTAGTGGTGGTGATGATGTTGATGATGATGATGGTTATGTCGATAATGGGGATGAGATTCACAATGATGATGATGATGATGGTGATTATGATGATGCGGGGGAGGAGGAGAAGGATAAGTATGATAACAATTATGATGATTGTGATGATGGTGATGATTTTTATAATAGTCATGTTTTTGATGATCATCTTTAATAATATATGAATTCTAAGGAAGCTACTATTCTTTTTACAATGTCACATCCAATTATTTTATGTATTATTATTCTTTACACAGGTGCAGCACACACTGTTCTATCAGACTACTGGTCGAGGATCCTTGGCAAACAAGAACTATTTGGTGAGTCCAGTAATAACCATAGCTACTTGTATGATCCTTATCATTGAGAGTGCATCAAACAAACAGTCTGCCAACCGCCAGAAGGATGTTTAGTCGTATGCCTTAACATAACAATAAAAGTAATATTAATCTGGATTGATATAGTGCAGTTTATTACCCGGTCATCGGATTCATTAACATGCATTATGCACTATCCCCACTCCCTGGGGAGTACTCCTACCATATGGTCACTGTGAGGGCATATGGCAATTACCTACACAAAAGCTTTTGTCATTTGTCATTGAAAACAGGCTTTGTGAAACGGGTCCCTGTCTGCATGTCAGCAGGATATTAGATGCCATACTTTGAAGATTTCATGTCTACAAAGCTGTTCCAGAGAGGGGATCACAAGAGGCAGAATGTGCCATCATTTCACCTGTCTCTTTTCACATAAATAACTAGGAAGGATTTTTTTTTTTTATTGGTGGTTTTTATTTTTAAATAACTATTGCAATTATATTTATATTTATATTGTCTTTGTACTTTTCAGCTCGCCAGTGTTCCAAGCGAGGGGTGATGTGAGAATCCGACTTCTAGGGAATAACAGAGTTGAGGTTGCTGGTAAAGCAGCACTTGTCATCCAAGGCAAGATAAACATCTAAAGAGGGCAGCAGACTGGTAGAACCATAGCAAGCAGAGAGAGGTAGTTGGGACACGCACATGCATCCACAGGTCAACTTATGGAGCTCTAAATAGTTCCCTCATGTAATCTTTGCTGGATGACTGACGAGTCAAAGGCAACTTCTGCTGTCACGACTATCTGTTTATCCACTATTCATGAGTAGAGCCATAGCTAGTAGAGGAGAGATAGTTGGGACACGCTCATGTGTATAGACCTAAAGTTCCATTCATGTAGTCTCTCTACATTAGGCTCTCTCCCCCCACACAAAATCTATTAGAGGGAACTAATTCAGTGCTCCATGAAATTTGGAGTATAATAAGCACACATAAACATGTCACATCTCTCTCTCTCTCTTTACTATGACTTTTAGAAGAGCTTTCTTTTAGTGTAGCTAGCCACGCCCATGAGGGCAGCAGATAGGCAGAAAGCTCCAATTTGTAGCTCTCAAGATTGAATGTGAAGACTCCGGTATTGAGTTTGATTCCAAAATATGATTGATGAAGACAGCATCGGATTGGGAATGAATGGAGTTATATACATGCAGACCATTTAAGATCTGCAATGGGGCAATCAAACTGAGAAATATGAAACATTTTCATTTGAAGCAGTACTCACAATCAAAGCGTGTAAAATGATATCTGTTGGAGGAGGGGGGAATGGGGGGTGGCCTTACTATTGAAAATGCCTGGTTGAATTGACCAATTTTTTGTTGCTGTTCAGTGAGAAATCAATGTGATATGTTTGTGTCATTAGCTAACCTTCAGATTAATTTTTAAAGTTGTATTGGCAGATTTATAAAAATGTATGACCATCGTAATCTCTTTAGAAATCTATGACAATTACCTGACAAGATGGATTCCATTATAGTAAAGGCAAATGCAGGGTTGCTCACGTTTTATAGAGTATCAAAGTGCCTACCTCTTGGGTATGTTATATTGTGTACTATATTACTTAATACTAAAATCTATTTTACTGTTGAAGTTGCACATATCAACTGAAATAATGTTTATTTTTCTAAATTTTAGTGTCAGTGCCAGTTTATTTAACACTAATTTTAATGTTATCATGTATTGCTGTTTCTCTTTAAAAAAATAATCAGTACAACATTCTTGTGTGTAAATTCTTGTTGTCATTGTAACATCATTATGGAGTTGAAGATTATAAAACTGAATATGATAACGTACATATACTATTGAAATTATTTGTTTTCTTTCTCTTCTTCCAGTTTGAGTTTGTTAATGAAGTGAATGTAGTGAAACTGTGAAAGTGTTTGTTAGTATACGATAGTCCGCAGGCACATACTCTTTTTTGACACATTACCATGCTTCCTAAAGCCTTGAGCAGAGCCTAGCTTTTTCTGTTTCTGGCTGTCTGGAGCAGCTTAAGTACAGAGCCTATGCAGTATCCCGTCAGCCTAGTCTGAAAGTGCAGACACTGCTATGTAAACAACAAAGGACAAGGGTTTTTGCCTGCAAACTAAGTATGAGATATATTATTTTGTGATGTGTGCATGGTATGAAATAAACCTTAAAAATCATAATTGATGATCCAATTAATATCAAAATAGAAATACATGTATATTCCAATGTAATAACTTTCTTCAATGGTAAACCCCCTTTACAAGATAAGAATGTCAATTTCATACTCTCTCCCCCCCCCCCCCCCCACACCCCTTTCATGAAAGTTAAATTTGCATGCTGAATTTTCAAGGAATGATGTGACAGAAAATTGCATTAAACTTCTATGTAGTATATTGATACCCTGACCTTTTTTTGTAAAGAAAATAATTTTGAGCTTTTGGTAAAAAGAGGGTCAACTCATATTTTCTTACCTGTACTCACAGATAAGCAAAGGTGTGAAGAAATGCTGATTGATCTGTCGCTAACCAAGTTTACAGATATCACCAAAATAAATAACTACTCAGTGGTGTGGCTTCTTATTACGTCAGTAGGGATGAAGTTTGCGTATTTGAAGCCAAGTTTCTGTTATTTTGATTTAATGAGGGCTTGTATTTTACCCCTGCCTTACATTTGTCAACATTGGTTCAGAATTATTCTTCAACATGCCAAAGCCCTTGCCATGAAACATGTAACTGGCCTGTATACAAAAATTGAGTTTCAATATTTTTTTTATTTTATTGAATGTGCATTATTCTTTTTGGGGGATAGTTAAAGCAACTTGAATTGTTTAATCAGTATTTGAATTTGACAAATAAAATATTATGAACACTATCACTTTACCCTGAATTGGCTGCCCTTATAGGGGAAAATTAAAGAATATCAGAAGTATTCCATTACCTTTCTTTATAAATATTAATCCAATCTGTCTCCCAAATTTTGACCATTTATCATTCATAGAATTTGAAATGTAAGCAAAACCGTCATCAGCAAATTTTATTTTTTAGTGTTCTTTATTTTCTGACATCAAACCAATTCCTCGTACCTTTTCTCTAGGAAATATACCATAGATTTGTGAAATGAAGACGATTTCTTAAAAAGCAAGATATAAAACCTAAAATCCTTGTTGCCCATTATTTGGCTGTCATTAGGGTGGTCAGGACTTGGGAAGTAAAAAAACTCTTTTTTTTCTGACGCCAAACCAATTCCTTATTCGTTTGCTTCTAGAAATATGCCTTTAAATTTGTGAAACGGACAATTTAAATTAAAAAAAAAAAAATCAAGCTATAAAACCTATAACCCCTCTTCTTGCCCATTGGCTGTCATCAGTGTGGGTAGGCCTTGGGAAGTACACCTTGTTAAACCAAGAAGGAAGTAGTTGACATGCCACCTTGCTAAAGATCCATCTATCTCAAGATCAATCTTCTCGATCGAGGCTAAGGGGTGACTAACGTTTTCATCTCAAGTTACGTTCAAGGTGATTTATTACTACAGCCCTATATCCTTTTAGTTTTCTCTAGCAGACTGTTCCCCCTTCTTTGTTTCAGCTTACCCTTTTATTTTCAAATAAACTTACTCATCTCATTTAGTCACTCCCTCTTACCTAAATCAACGGCTTTTTAGTTCCTCCTTTTAATTCCTTCTCACTATCATTTGTCTTGATTGGGTGACTGACGTTTTCATCACTAGTCTGTTTCTTGATTACCTGGGCCCCGTAGCATAAAACTTACTATTGATGATAACTTTGCCATCAATGGCAACTACAATGGTAACAGGGCTCAACAGCCAATCAAAAATCAAGGTTGCCATGGTAGTTACGATTGATGGCAAAGTTAACTTCAATGGTAAGTTTTGTACAACGGGCCCCAGGTTGGTTTAAGTTCATGTTTGTGTATTTTGTGTGTTTCAAACTTTACTCGTCCTCTTCTCTCTCCTTCTTCTTTCCCTCTGCTCCTGTTATCTTTTGTGTCCTTCCTCTTTATTGTAGCTATCCTTCCCCTTTCCTCTCTCTTTCTCTCTCCCCTCTTTTTCTCTCCATCTACTCCTCTGTTATCTTATGTGTCTATCCCTCTTCTCTCTCTATCTCCCTTTCTCTACCCCTCCCCCCCCCCCCCTCTTTCTTTCTCTTATCTCGTATCGAGTCTCAAGTCTTTCTCCTCCCTGCTCATCCTTTTCCTTCTCTACTTTATTTCTTGATTTGTCATTCACTCCATCGCCTTCCATCATAATATATTTTTACCTACCAGTATTTTCCTCTCGCAATCACATTTTCTTCCACCTATCTCTAATTACTTGAAGTGCATAAGAGACATGATCATAACATGATGTGCCCTACATAACAGAAAATTGGAATCATACATCTATGTATATTCTCTGTTTCCATCATCTCTCATGTTCACTGCTCATCTCTCATCAATCAGTTGCTCGATATCATTTTCAGGCCCGCATTCTTTCCAGTTTGAACCATAAAAAGGACAACATCCACGATCCATTTTCATTAGAAAAGTGCAGTTTATGTACATAGATCTTGTGACATTCAGTAAGATTTATAAAGCATATACAATCTAATACTTGCCATACTTGGTACTGATACTTCAAATATTTGTCTTCAATTTCCATTTTACATTGTAAGATTGTATGCAACAGGCCAAAAGAGCAATCACGCATATTCTTTTACATTAATTTAATGCCCTTCTGGCCTTCAAAAGACAAAATAAAGATTCATTCATTTAAAAAGAAGAAAAAAAAAAAGAAATTGTATAATCTATTACAAATTACATGGTCACGATGAGAAATAGACTAGAAAAATGACAAATTTCTCACAACAAATATTGATCAATGATGCAACAATCATATAGTATTTTGTACATGATAAAGAGATTCTATGACACATGATTTGGTGTCAATTGCTCCGTTGTCAATTCTAGCACTAACAGAATTCCCTAATTTATTCAGCCTTAACCAAACAAAAGACCTGGGGGGTGTTTCACAAAGATCCTAAGTAGAACTTAACTCTAAGTTGGACTTAAAAATTATGGAAAGCCATTAGCATCTTTGAAAATATTTGGTAAAATATTTTTGAAAGGCATAAAATGTTTATTCAAATCATTCATATTTTCTATCATTAAGGAGATTTCATATTCTTGTTGTGGAATTTATAAAATGTCTAAAATAATTGAATTTCTGCTTTTGAGTATATTTCATTTTAAGGCTCCAATGGCTGTCCATATTTTTAAGTCAAACTTAGTGTTAAGTTCTACTTAGGATCTTTGTGAAACACCCCCCTGTTCTTTAATGCTTGACCTAAACCTCACCTCCAATTCATTTGCTCTGGTGACATTTTAAAAAGTTATTAAACCAAAACACAAAATGTGGAATGATTATCGCAAAAGGGTAAAAGAAGTTGATGTAAATAAATGTTATTAGGATGAAGTGAAACCACACTATAAGGTTGGGTTACATCAATACTACATGTATCATATCAAACTTTTAAGTTATCCCATATTTGCTACAGTCCGATCGTTGATCCTTTAACAAAAAGAACGAAGAATAAAGTAACATGTCCATAATTTTAACACTTCATGATCTGTAAGAAAAACTATTAAAAAAAGAAAGAAAAGAAGACCCTCCCCAATACATAAAATATACATGTTATATAGATGCTCATAATTCTATGACCATGAGTTGCAACAAAGGTACATCAGTGCTTTCTCTCTCTCTCTCTCTCTCTCTCTCTTCTCTCTACTCTCTCTCTCTCTCTCTCTCTTTCACACTCTCACTCTCTCTCACACACACTCCCTCTCTCTCTCACTCATAATTTTCATGTAGTACATAGTCTCATTTTGTTCTCTCATTCAATGCTTTCAATCCTACTGGTATACTTGTTCTTCCACTGGTATTACATCATTAACAATACAAAACAATGGTGTCCTTTCTTTTCATCAAACAAAAACAACAACAACATTCCTCAAACTCTAAATTGCTTAGCGCATTGTACAAAATCAAAACCCGTTTCACAGTTGCTAATGTCACTAACAGTACTTGTTCATAACCTTACTTTTACCTCTTTGTATCAGCCACAGTAACTTGTCTTTAACAAAAAAAAATGATCGAAACAGATTCTTGGCAACGTGATCCCACTGTTCTAACAAATACATATCTAAAATTTATACAAATTTTACAATTTGTATTTTGTTGTAGAATCAATAGATATTTTTCAAAACAATAATTCATCAAAATCCTTCTCTCTAATTTTAACCAAAATTTATGTGGGTATATAAATACCCTTTCATGAATAATTGTGAAAAGTTATAATTGTTAATATTTTGTGGATATTAGCCACATTAACCACTGTATTTAATAGTACATGTACAATAGGGATGAATTTCATTGATAATAATTGAACAATATTGAGGTTCACAAGATTAATAATCCCATTGGACCGGAGGAAACTGTTCACAGATCCCATTGTTAAACATTCTCTAAACGTACATCCCAAATTATTAAAAAACACATAAAAACAAAATATGTTTTACCAATCTGCGCACAATAAATTTACACGATACAGGGGTGACTCCTCGGCCAGCATAATTCATTAAATATCAAGTATAAAAAAGATGCTGTACATGTACTGACTATTGTACAATACTGAGATGCACACATAAAATAGTACTGCTACAAAAACTGCTTTGTTGATTAAGAAGTAAAGCGAAATTTCAATTAAAGCTTTCGTCTTTTGTTCATGTGGTAAGTTACTACCAGGGTTTAGACAAATTAAAGCAGTACAATCCAAGTGTTTCTATACTAATCTGTAGACATTCATTGTCCTGGGGGGGGGGGGAGAGAAATGCATGAGTAGAAGGACTTAAACATTATCATCACTTTACAAACTACATGTATCTTTCAAAAATATATCTGATAAATGTATTTCAAAATATGGTCTTACACATGTCTTGCAGCAAAAATTCATTTTGTAGTAATTCATAAATGTACCTACTGTAAATAAATGTACCAAAAAGTAGGGTGCTTTTAAGCCAAAAAAAGTAAGTCGGATATTAAATCAGCATTAATTATCAACATGCCCCTCACGGAGTTGTTTGCTTTAAATAGCAAAATAGTGCAAATGATGTCCCAATTCCTTGCCCAGCTGAAAGCTAGTTTTCCCAGATATTGGACAATCACACTGTTGAACCCTTGGTACTTTAATTCTCTATTCGCAATGGATTAAAACCTAGACTGCCAATTTGTTAGGAGTACACGATACACACACTCTGTAGATTGTACATGTGTGTGTGTGTGTGTGTGTGTGTGTGTGTGTGACAAAGGATGACTGTGGCAATCCACCATTTGCTTCAATAGACGGTCAAAAGCAACAGAAAGTTGAGACCATCATGGTAAGTTTTCCATCATGACGTGCATTGGTCCTACACCTGGCATCCTGCTAAGCATGCCAAGCTTCAGGCTCGTTCAGATATGACGCGGTTAACCGCCGCAAAATAACCAACAAACACTGAGGTTGCCGGTACGGTGTTATCTGTAAATTAATGGCAGCTGTGCGCAACGAAGGTCATTTGTGTATTAACTGAGCTTCATGTTATAAGATACAGAAATGCTTAAATACAGTTTACATCATCATTAAAAAAAAAACTCTGGTGTTTTCCCCTGCATATCTGAACAAACCTTCAGTCTCTGACTTGAATATTGTTCTATTAAAGAAGATTTATGCATCACATTGCTTTCACACAACAACCCCTCACAACCTTTTATACATTTCAGCAGTACCTTAAAAGAGAGTTGTAGGATGATGCTGAGTGAAAACTGGTGATGCTGTTATTAGTAAAGGTTTCAATTTATAACTAAAGTAATCAGCGATACTTTTCATGGTGGAGAAACTGTATTGTAGGTACAGTTTTCAGGCTTACACCATGTAATTCTTTCAAAGGAAAGGAGCCCTCAAAAGGGGCTGGTGAGCTCCCCCGAGTGCTCTTTGGTTCTTGATGTTTGGATCAGTATGCTCTGATCTGGGACCCGTTTAACAAAGCCTTTTTTCAATGACAAATGACAAAAACCAATGACAAATCTGCTGATAACCAATCAGAAGCAAGGATTTCACTAGCTTATAACAAGGACTGTCATTTATCACTGATGACCGGTTTTGTGGAACAGGGCCCTGATGATCTTCAGGAGAATGAGTTCATCTCAAGGTTACCCGAGGCATGATTCTTTCAATGATACCATGCTCCCGATACGTATGTTCCGACATGCTCGACATATTGGAGGATGAAGATCCCTGACACACGCTTACATCAGAAGCAGTTCATGCATCATCATCCCATCAATAAATCAATCAAATGATCTCTCGAGTGGAGATGATCTAGAAGTCTTTGAGGTGATCATTAAGCCAGTCAGGAATCGGTTGGTTGAGTTTCTCTAAGACTGAAGAGAGGATGAGATTATCCTGCCTGTAGAACGCCTGGAGGAACTCTGCCGACTCGTAGTCCATCTCGGCGTACTTGCGACCTTTGCCCTTTCCTAAGCAGCGTGTTCTGTTCTTGGGCCCAACAGGGCAGTAGAAACCCTTCTGGCGATCATACCTGAAAAAGATTTGGAAAATATGAAGTTTTTAAACATGAATAATAACAAATTAATGATGAAAATTACAACGTAATAATAATGATAATAACAAAGTAGCTGAAAAAGATGTACACCCTGTAAGTAGTGTGCACATATGTATAAAGCACCTTATAAATGTAATTATTATTATTATTATTATTATTATTGAGGCACCTGAAAAGTATCAGTGTTAATAGTGCTTGAGCCAAGTGGTCCTACCAAAATAAAAGAGTATTCAAGGAATGTCTTCCAGACAGGTTTCCATTTCATACACCAGAGTTGAGTGCCAGAAGATTGTTAACTCTGTGAAGAATAATGAGTACATGCAATACTAGTTCTAAACAGATGTCTGACAGACAGATGGGACTACAGTCAAACCTGCTTTAGTGACCACCTGTATAGAAAGACCTCTTGTCTATTAAGAACACATTTTTTGTTTCCCTTGAATATGATTTCTCATTGAAACATGTACCAAAGGAACCTGTACATAAAGACCACTTGTTTCCCTTGGGTGGTCTTTATAGACAGGTTTCACTGTACTTACTTGAGTAATCTGGAATAATTGAGGGTTGGTTTAATCTTGAGAAACTTCTGAACTCTCAGCATGGCAAGAGCAGGGTTGGTTTTCAACATTTCACCATCCAACAAAAACATCTAGACCAGGAAGGAAAATATCAAAAACATGGTTCATATATAATACTATGCAAGCTCTTAAATCATTGTCACCATCATCATCATCATCATTGTCATCATCATCATCATCATCATCAAGTGCCAGGTCTGTGTTACAGACATTGGCAGTCATGGCCCTCCATTTCTGTCAATCATCTGATATTCTTAAAAAGCTGGTGTTGCAGATTTCATTTTTGGTTGCCCAATCGTTCAAGAATTGCAAATATGTGAGGCGTTGCCTTCCCCTGCTTCTCTTCGCAGCAATATTCCTATGGGCTTTATTCTCTAGAGTATTCTTTCTGTACATGTGACCAACAAACTACATTTTCATCTTTCTAATACTGGGTTGATGAGAGATGGATATTAATTTTCTGAATACTTTTTCATTTGGTATCTCTTCTGTCTGTTCAAGAATCTACAAATCAAATGACCTACCAGCAGCCTATTTCAGGGATAGCTGTAAGGGACCTATTCTTATGAGGTAACAGATACAAGTAAGCCTGGGCCAATGACAACTGCATCAGACATGTGGATGCCAGTCCATCTACATCAACTCATACCACTCATCTGCTTTAGCAATGTCAACCTTTACATAAGGTACATTTGGCTGATGTATTAAAGGCAATATAAATGTATCCCTCTCTTTCATGACATCGTCTCCTCTCTCTTTATCTTCCCTTTTTTCTCAATATCTCTACCCCCCCCCCCCACTTCTCCCTCCATCTATCTATTAATCTCTCCCCCATCTTTCTCTAACTTGGCGAGATGAAAAGTGTTGTAGCCATCTTTGTAAATGAGTCAAGTTACCCCTCTCTTTCTTAGTCTTGTCTCTCTTTATCATCCTTTTTTTTTTTTCTCTCTCATCCCCTCCCCTCCCCCTTTCCCTCTCTATATACCAATCTCTCCCCCATCTTTCTCTAACTTGGCGAGATGAAAAGTGCTGTAGCCATCTTTGTAAATGAATCAAGTTACCCCTCTCTTTCTAAGTCTCGTCTCTCTTTATTTTCCTTTTTTTCTCTCTCACCCCCTCCCCTTCCCTTTCCCCCTCTATATACCAATCTCTCCCCCCATCTTTCTCTTACTTGGCGAGATGAAAAGTGTGTCAGCCATCTTTGTAAATGAGTTGCGTATTTCCCTGGTTCCAGGCAGTGTTTCTGAAGTTCTCTGAGTAGTTTTGGAGAATCAGGTTTGGCAGTGATGACATCACGGAATGAGTACTGTAGGCTGGCTTCATCATCGTGTGCCCGCATGTGCTGCCAATTGGAAAAGTTATAAATATGGTAATGAGATGGAAACAAGTGGTAAAGGGTACAAAATAATGCTTCCCCTTTTTTTAATTTCCTAACTCCCCCGACTAGACTTGAATAAATGATTCACATTTTCCTTCACTAAATCCTTCACACACAAAAACACCATTTATGAACAAGATTTTGCTTTGGACAGAACAATAAAGCCATAACAGTCGATTACTCACAGACATCACATAATATTTCCAGTGTCTTGTATAAGTAGGTACTCTAGGTTTATTCTAACCATCACCATGTCAATTTTTTCACAAAATATGCATCTGCCATTAAGAAAAATTGTGAATTATGGGACATACATGATACATCCCTCACAAAATTAGCTTTACTAGACAGGAGACACAGTATGATTTTTTAAATGTCTATAAACATCATGATAACCTGAAACTTTTGTTCCCAAGAAACATTTGCAAATGCTGCGATTGGCCCAGATTTGTGAAATTTTTATGCAACAAACAGTTACTGAATCACAATATAAAAAATGTTTGTGCGACAAGGAAAATTCTTGCTGCAAAAAATGGTTGTTTCTCTCTTTTCACAAATCATGGTGCAAAAAGTTATGTACGGAGTGGTGATCCAACATTTTCTCTGGCAACAGTAACTCTGGACATTATTTCATCAAACTTATTGGCCCAAATTCACAAAGGAGGTTTGTGGACACACCTAGGTATATGTGCGTCATACGACGCGTTTCAACACATTTTTACAAATGTAAAAAATGGGTCAAAACGCGTCATATGACACACATAAACCTAGGTTTGTCGACGAACCTCCTTTGTGAATTCGGGCCATAGGGTTAGTGTAGGGGTTGTAATTGGGTTCTAAGATAGGTTTAGGGTTAGGGATAGTATTAGGGTCAGAGTTGGGTTTAGTATTTGGTCCAGGACATTAGTTAAGACAATGTTTAGTGCAGGAAATGTGCCAAACATCCTGGTTTTCAGGGCATTGTTTCATGAAACCATGTTTGGATGTCGGTGAACTTGTACTTATGACGATTTTGTGATACACTGCCCAACTGTCCGTGTACCGAATAGACCTACCTGATACCAGGAGTGAGCCCTCTTTGCTGGGTCCAGGAGAATGACGATCAGTTTAGCCTTAGGGAGCAGGGCTTTGACCCTCTTAGGAGCCTGAGCACTGTCAAAGTAGTTGGCACTCTTCTCAAAGATATGGACGTTGCTTTGGTTCTTGTTGGACGGAAAGAAGTCAAGATACCTGAAAGAGGACGAGAGAAGGTTCTTTTGTAATTAGGACACTGCTTCCTAAAAATTTGTTATCAATAACATGTGAGAATACATACAGTATCCAACAAGAGTTAGTACACCTCTAACAAATTTGAATATTTTAATATAACCATTTTTTTTCTCAGAGTTGTACTAAAAATTTGAGCCTTAAAGCAATGATAAATTTGACATTTTTTAAACGTTAATAGGTATCACATATTTCTTCCATGAAATCAGTGTAGTTCACAAAGGAGTTTATAATATTTAACTCTTTTATAAAGGGTGTACTCATTTTTGTTCGATACTGTATTTAATATCAGCAACTTAATCACTATTTTGATTGGATGTGAGAAATTCATTACAGAACTCAGGCAATGGTTTTCGATTGCAAGATATATGGAACAGGTCACCAGATTGTTTTTCACAAAATTTGTCTTTATTGTAATTGAATAGGGTGGTGCTGGTATAAGCAGGCAGCTGTCTACACATACTACATGGTGGCACTCTATCATGCTTGTTAATAGATCCTGGCAAGGAGCACAACCTGGCAAAAGACTGCATTGGACACTCAAGTATGCTCCTTTATGCATAGAATATGGTTACATTTTAGTATAATATACATAATTTTCATAGATCTCAACCCGTGATAAAGTATATCTTGCACCATTGACAGCTATTTTAAGTAAAGGTCGAGTCTAGAGAAACAGGTTTGTAAAATTTTGAAACGATACCCTGAATAACATGAAATAAATGATTTTTCACTTTGAAAAATTGGCTACTCTATGGTTTCCTTTGCAAACTACTCTTCATCTGGTTTTACAACAGATTTCATAAATTTAAATTCTTCTTCATGAAACAGAAATTTTTCGTAAAAATCCAGGGTTTGTATTAATTCTGAGAATTATGTAAGTTGTATAACTCCAGATAATAACATTTAATCTGAAACGATTGACTGATTCTCAAAAGAGCGAGTATGCAAACATACCAATCTAATCCATTGTAGTAGTTATCTCCATTAAAGAATTGCACCTCTTCGAAGGTCTTCTCGCTTGGACGGTTGCTGACTATTCCTTTATGCATCTGCAGGAAAGTGTAGAGAGCAGTAGTACCTAGACACAAACACAGACAAAATAAATAAAATGTGATCAATTCTCTCTTTTGGATGATTTGCTAACAAAGGATATTCTTTTCCACTCTGGAGGTTTCTAACTTCAATAGCAGGAAATGGTATGGCATAGCCGGTAACCAGACATTACAGGGGGGTGGAGGGGGGGGGGGGGGGGAGGGGGTTGTTATACCATGGATCTTGCATAAATGATATGGTTTATACGATGTGTCCTAAATCACAACAGGTGTTTTGTAAGCTAGACAGACGGTCGCTGTTTGAGAGGAAGTCTATGCTTAATTACGCTTTAGCTTTACATTCTCTTTCTATTTCTGTGAGACAGTGGATCAAGGTTGTTTTACTTGTCTGTCTGGAGGCAGAAGAACCTAAATTCTGTGTAAAATGATAAGATTTGTGCATTTCTGGCTCAAAAATGACTTCCTACTTGTTAGGGATGTATGACACTTGCTCCTGTGACACTATGTGTAGCTCCCTGGTAATTTTTTACACTTATGTGACTAACCCAGTTCCGATTCCTAACTTGGCCCCAGCACTATAACTATCCCTTAACCTAACCCTAAACCTAACCTAAACCCCAGTTGCTACCCTAATCCTTTACTTATAATGAAAGAAGCCTGGAGCAATTTTCGCCAAAACTTGTATTTTACTGATAAAAAATTGTTTCAAAAAAAGAAAAAACACGGATCAATGCCTCTTACAGTTCCTACATACAGGAAGAAATATTTTGATGGATCATTGGTTGAATATGCATGATTTCATCATGACTGCTGTGTTTGATAAACCAATGAACATTCCCAAATTGCCAACGTGAGATGTTTGTAGGATACTTTACAGGACAGAATGGGCATTTTGCCATTAAAAATGGCACACACAAAATGCTTTTTGTTGTTGTGGAAAATCGTATTTTATTAAAGAAAATCATACTGTTGTATTTACTTCTAAAAATTGTACTAAATACGATTCAATCCTACTGGTTGGCAGCTCTGCAGAGCACCCTTTGCTACCCATCACTGCATGGATGCATCCTTAACAGTGTTCAGAGCCATCTCCCCCACATGTTTTAATAGCTAGTATGGCTTCAGGGAGCTCGGTAATTGCTTAATACCTTTAAGCATGCTATTTATTACTTTCACAACAGAAATCTTTACACATATCGTAATGTGTTAGCGTGGCCATCAGTGAAAAGTTTATAGACATATCTCAAGAAGTTTTGGCCATCCAGGAGAGATGAATTTGACCTCACTAAATTATTCAACAACCCATGTTCTTTAACACTGCACAGAGCCTTTCATATACAACATAATTCATCTTCATGGTTGCAGAGGGGAAATTATTATTATTTTAAGCCCACTGCACTTCCTAGGTACAATTTCCATGGTATGAAGTAACTAGGCATTTGTATACATGTTAAATGTATAGTATGTACAGCAGAGAGGTGAACTAGTATGCTTGCAGAACACACAAAGGGGCATACAGCTTTAAATCTGTTCTTAATTGTCTTGGGGGAATTTACAGCATGTTCTAAATGTCAAAACAATAAATTCACAAGCCAATACATTGAATTACCAATAGGGACCTCCCACAATGCACATACGGGTACACTATTAAAGTTTCAATACATTACAACATGTAGGGAGCGGCTCAAATATTGTAATAAAGGACTTATTATTTTTGAAGCTCAAATAAAATGTAGATGTTTTAACATTTACTATTCTAAATACAATCTATACCTAAAGATATGTTTGACAATATCAAACTGTTGATGTTTTGCAGTCACTATGATTTCTCATTGAATAACATTAATCCCATCAGCCTACATGTAAACATTTTTTGGTCAATTCAACATAAAATATTCTTTTTAGTGAATGACATGGCTATCATGTATAGAAAAGAGATTTGGCACTTTAATTTCACAAATATGTCAATGAAATCTTGCATTACACATGTATTACAAAAGCATTTCTGTAAACACCATTCTTCAAACCCTTGGAAGTTGGTTGAAAATTTTATTTTCTGCCTTTAAATCAGAGTTCTCACCTGTTCATGGAAAAATGTGTGGGACTTCATGCTCAAACTCTAAAATCATTGCAAATATTCATGACTATGCATCAGAGAGAAGTGCTGATGTTATGCACTTCACTATGTGTGGAATATCGTTGAATATCGGCCTAGGGCAAGTTATCCAATTAACTCCCCTGTCCCTCAATCCTGCTACAACTATAAATGGGGCTGTCCTCATCAGCTCTAGATTGCCAAATAGCCCGCTATTTCTGATTTGGGAAATAAGCCCAAAGATACAAATCACGTTTTCATCAGCTCAAAACTTGAAACTCGAGCTCAAGATATTTTGCTCAGCGTTCGCGCATAGTGAGAGTCTTCGGGCTGGTGAAGACGCACCGGACAAATAGCGGGATATCTTGGGATGATTATCTCGACCAAATATCCGGTTAATTGCAACTTCGGGCTGATGAAGACGCAAATTAACTAGATAATTTGGGATCAGGATAGTTTAAATAGCGGGATATTTGGCATAACTTGAGCTGATGAAAACAGGCCTAATGAGACTTCATGCTAAAAGTATCTTGCTACCCGATACGTCCATGATAACCCAAACCCAAACCTCAAACGCCCATTTTCTCAGTGATAGGATAGCCAAATATTAGTCCGTCCCTTGAAATGTGACTGACCTAGATTCAACTTCAGGAGCTGTCAATGGCTGGTGAGTTCATACTGGGGGGTTAAGAATGTTTTAATCTTGATTTTTGAGATGTTGATTCAGCAAGTTTGGCAATTTGGCACAAGTACAAACTTTACATGTGATATGATTAATACAATATATGGACACACTAAATGCCCCACATATTGTGCTCTTTTTAAATGACTGAAAAAAAAATTTGTTCATGAGAATACACCCTGATTTCCAATACTGAAGACGATTTGTTTCATTGAAAAAGGCAATCATCATTTTTTCCTACCTTTCTAGAGCTAAGTTGTTCAATATGCTCCACTTGTTTCTGTTTTTTGTTGTTGTAATTTCTTTACTTTTTATGTGACTTCAATGTGAACGCACCATATAGCTGATAGCATCGTCTTGTGGGCAGCAGTGTGCACATGCCCAAAGGGTAGATGAATGGTGCTAGTATGTCATTAAGATCTGGCGTGCCATGAAACCTTATCGTGCAACTCGATGAAACGGAAATGGCCCAGACAAACCTACATGTTCACAAACATCTTTCTCAAAAAATTTTGCTACTCCTTCAGACATCTAGTATGGCATCAAAAATGTTGTGCTATTTCCTTTCTATTTTCTAATTGAATACAAATGGAAGATGTGGGATCTACTCTCTCACAAATATAAGATTCTTTAGTGGGTACAAGGAGACTCAAGTACACAGAGTAACAGATACATGAAGACCAGAGAATTTGTTTAAAGATCACTAAATATGAGAGGGTAAATGTAGTATATCACAAGGATTATGCCTATGGATAGATTCGTTGAACATCTCTTATTATAGATGTCTGTAAACTTCTTCCTTACACTTTGGCACTGCTGTCCATTGTGCTCAAGATTCAGGTCATTACCAAGAAATGTAAGCTATCCTACTTTACAGAAGGATTTTGTCAAGCATTAATGTGAAAACAGAGACAAGCAGGAAAAAAGTTTGGATAATAGATGTATGCTGAACAATTCCATCAGGATGGTTTAAATAATATAGAAGTGAGTTCTACGACACATCAGGTTCGTTGTCCAAGTCCCGGGCCCTGTTTCATAAAACTTATTATCAATAACAGCTGCTCCAGATCTATGGCAATTCTGCTTACAGCCAATCAAATGCAAGGATTTCAGTAGCTTATAACAACTATTGTAAGTTGGTATTGATAACATGTTTTTATGAAACAGGGCCCAGATACCTTCCTCAGATGTGTACTGGCAGACTGAAGCTAGCTGCCCATTTCCCGTTTGCTAAAGGATGCCATTTTGGTAATCGCCGTGTCATAGATGTCCTTTGGCGATCAGAAAACCAGCAGCTAGCTTTAGTCTGCCAGTATATGTCTGAGAGAGGTGTCTAGACTTAGACCGAAACTGCCATACTGAAACTGCCATGCAGGTAATCAAATTTGGATGGGTCATGGAAATCATTTAAAAACAATGAAAGTATGTTGAGCATTGACTCAGGAATCACCTATCCAAGTTTTACGATGTAAGAAGAGCTCAGACTTTGACAAACAGTCTGTGTATTATATACAAGAAAAATATGAATTTATGCAATGTGATCTTTCTCTTTTTGTCAGATTAGGCTTTGTCAGAAGCTTACCTGTTTTTTGTGGACCAAGGATGAGAGAGTTGGGTAGTCTGGTACAGTCTTTGTCCTCAGCCCATACCTCCATCAGTCTATGATCTTCACAAGGATTCTGAGTATATGAAGGTACAGATACAAGATTGTAATACGTCAAGGATGTGACAACTGAATAACATGTCAAGAACAAGAGAAATAAATTTTGTACAACAAAACACGTTTGTGTGCATTTGATGATCGCGAATTTGCAAGTCTGAACCATGTACAAAATTGCCATGTCCAAAAGTTATTGAATGACAAATAACACAACACTGCATTTTTGCAATTCATGAAAGGTTCCTTGCTGTGAAAATGGCGGGTAGCTACAATTCATGTTGTGAATATTTATGGCTTTATATATTCTATTACAATCCATGTACAGTACATGTACAATGAAATGGATGAAGATAATGGATTAATATCTGACAACAATGAACTATGGAAGTCGGGTCCAGTTGCTGTTTTCTGTGACCTCTAAAATGAGCTTTTCTAATATTATGATTCACTACCAGGTAGGAAAGACATTTAAGAGAAAATTTAACTTTCACTTTGTTGGATAATCTCCAGATTTTCCAATGGCAAATTTCTCTAGATTATGAAAAGAAAAAGGAAGAAAGATAGATGACAAACTCTTTCATGTTTGAACCGAGCAACTGTAATACAAAAATTAAAATGACCTTTCAAGTCTTTCTCTCCAAATTTTCTCGTTTTATTTCATTATTTTAGAGAAAATCAAAATGATTGATTCCAGCCAGATTTCTGGCAAACTGACTTTTTCTGAGCAAAAAAACATCTGGCCAAAGATAAGTAGTCACAAACTAATAAACCTGTTCATCATCCATTTTTTTTGCAATGATTCCCAATACTTTGACAGACTTGCTACATCTGATTACTACTTACGCCCCAGAGAGGTTGCTTTTCCTGCGGATACAGCTCAAAGTATTTCTTGGCAGTGGGGACTGGAGGAAGTGTCTGCAGTTTCAGGTTGGTGTAGGTGTTAACGAACTGAAAAGCGTGTTTGAACGTGTAGGTAGCCAGTCGGTCGCTGCCATAGTTGGACATGTGAGTCATGAATATGTTCACCTGGGAAACGGAACAAGATAAAAAAAAAAACGTTAGTGTTAGGGTTAAGGTGAACAAACTAAAACGTATGTTTGAACTTTGGACGTGAACATAGCCAGTCGGTCGCTGCCATAGTTGGACATGTGAGTCATGAAGATGTTCACCAAGGAAACGGAACAAGATGAAAATGTTAGTGTTTGTGTGGACGAACTGAAACAAATGTTTGAACGTGTAGGTTGTCAGTCGGTCACTGCCGTAGTTGTGAGTTGTGAGTCATGAAGACATTCACCTGGGGAACGGAACATGACAGTGCGGCAACAGAACAAGACAAGGAAGTCACACTGACAGGAAAGTCAGGTTTCATGCACTCCATAGGGGGGACGGGCGGAGAGGGGGGGGGGGGGAATTGTAGGAAGAGGTGAAGGGGAATATATTCAAGAGAGGGAGAACACCACATAACATTCTCCATCTTTCCATGTTGTCTCCTAATGACCCATCAAATGAAGTTAGGGCAAGAGTATATACAGACATACCGTCATTTATCAGACTGTGACATTCTAAGCTTCTGATTTGTCGAACCTGCAAGCATAAAGCTGACCATTGACCACTGTGGTGTAAATTACAAGTAAAAAATTAAAACCATGAACTGGAAAAACTTTGCATGATATCAAAATTGCGAATTTGATGCAATGACTCCTAGACTATTGCCAAATTAATTTGATAACTTCTTATCCACATCTTTGATACATTCCTAAATCTTATATAATATAGCTATGAGATGTTTCCATTGTTATATTGATTTGTATTTTCATGTTTATATTATAATGAAAGTATCTGATTACGTTGGAAATCAGACAATATCAGCCTTTTGGTGCATTTCATGTTTTATTTTTATAAACCAATTCAATCAATCAATCAAAGACCACAAAAGGTTCTTCAATTGTGACACATCTACAAACATTCTTGCATTTCATCCTCGCTGACCTCGCATGTCATAAATCATTCAACAGAACAAATACAGCTATAATTAAAAATGACTGCAAGAGTACTGTAAACTAATCAACGAAAGATCAGATTGTATTTGCAAATCATCAAACATCAGCTTGTATTACAGGATCAAAGGATTTCTGGTTCACGTTTATCAGCTTAGAATATCATCACAATCTGACAGGGGAAAAAGTACTTAGTAGTTACATCTTTATCCATTAATCATGGCAGGAAATTAATACAGAGATTATCACACTCAGGCTCAACAGTGTGTAGGCCGACAGCCTCTGCAGTAGGCCGCCATCCTTGTCAAGCTTCGCTTATGATTGCGGTCTCCTGCACTTTATCAACAGAATAGTTCAGATAATACTTTAAATTTATAATAATATGTTATGGAAATATTAAGTTTCGTTATTATATGTACATATATTATGTAAAAACATTTTGACATGAAGAAATTATTGTTTGTATATGTTGTATTATACCTTACATTTATATATTCTTTGTTATTCAGTTATATTATATTTGGAAAAATGCAGAAATTAAATCAAATCAACAACAAAAAGTAGTAGGCAATACAGAATAGTGGAAACAGGGCTGCTTAGCCAGCTCATACGCTTCAATATCAAATATCTGTTCAAAGTCAGAAGAGAGTTAACGCTGTATTAAGGTATATGAGTTAATGTCCTTCTGGCTCCAAACGGACGATATTATAGGCTTCTGGAAAACAAAGAATTAAAGCAGATTGGGAATAGAGATCCCAGGAAAAACATTCAACAGTCCTCCCTAAGTATGAATATAATCCTTTATGACTTTAATATTATTATAAAATAATGGGGAATATGATTGACGATGAATTCATAGAATTTAATGGACTGGCTTTGTGGTAAAACAAATAACTATCACTTGTAGGCATTCTTTACCTGAACCAATACTAAACTAACACAAAAATACATTATTACATATAGCCTATAGATAAATCAAAGACATTTAAGTTTAATAGTGGATGACATGAACTTTCATACACGTGTATTATAGATATTAAAGTACGAACTACATTGCTCTCTCCATCTCTCCCCCTCCCCTCTATATCAATTAAATGTTAGTTTGGGAATTCAATGACATACATATTTGTGTGATTTCTTGGCTAAATATCAGTGCAAAAATTGGACAATATAAATGCAAATACTCTGCCTCTAATGAAAACAACCTTAAATTATGCAAAGGCTTCATTGAGTGAATGAAAAACATCTCGATCAATACAGAAATTTCATCAGTACGATCTCAGTCTCAGTCCCATGTATGTATTTTCCTGTCTGGTTTTGATAGACATCTCAAAGGAAAGTCTGAGAGTAATCTGATAGAATACTCACCCTCCAATTTCCCTCTCAATCGACTTTCTCGAGGTTGATGTCCTAATCGAGCTCCCCTAATCTTGCCATCAGGCATATCAAGTAGGGTGAATGATTCCCATCACTTTGCCCCCTCTCCCCCAGCCCCTAGCCCCCTTCCTCTTACAACACCATAGAGAAATTGATGATTACTACACAACCCGATTACGGTAAGTACAAGGTAAAATGTTTATGAGATGTTATTAAACGTATTGACCAGTAAAGAGCCTACTTATACAAATGATTGTTTACTGTCAAATAGTACATTGTAAGACCAAATTGGAAATGTAATATTTAAAACAAGTTTGGAGGTCGTCATCTGGTTCAACTTCACAATGGTATAAACTGCCAACAACAGATTTCTTACCAACAATAATACTCCTACCACATACATGTACCAGTATGCACATGTACACATGCACTCTAATGGAAACTTGTTTAACTTTTAGGCCCATTGTATGAATAATACTGAAAAATAAAAACAATGAAACTTACTGCTATGAGTGTCTCTATACAACAACAGGAACCAATTACCCTTAACATTGTTTTTATTAAGTTTATGCTAAAGTACATTGTACAGATTCACTTGTTTTGTAGTTAAACTAGGACTTTCAATTCCCCTTTAACTTAGACAGACATTACTTTGACTCATAGTTGCCCTTGGTCTTGTCATTCAAACCCTGTTAAAGCTCTCTTTCTAACACAAAAAGCACATGAAAAAAAATTATACACATGTACATGTACGCACAGTGTCAATACTTTAAAAACTAAATAAATATTAAAACAAAAAGACAATGAAACAGTGAATATTGCCAAGTTCTCCTGCATTTTAAATGAATAAACAATGGCATAATCAGTGGTAATATTCCATTTTAAATGCATTAGATTTGTCTTCAAACAGAGACTCTCTACTTACTGTAGCTTTCGGGCTGTTGCTCAGATGATACAGGACTATGTTTGATCTAGTGAAACATATTTTGTTGTTCCACGGGCTGACACTCACAGGGGCCGACCACTCTTCTCGGCCTCCAAAAATAATTGTCATGACCCTCAAAACTTTAGAATGTTACATGGACATTCAGGTTTGTATTTCAATATCCCCCCCCCCCTCCTCTCCTTTTAAAGTTTTTACTATAACAGTTGGTGTGAAACCACGGTTATTTGTCTGTGTTAATACTTGCTACATGTACATGTATGTGTACACCAAGCCTTATATTATTTAGAAAGCAATCTTGACCATGAACCAAGAATACTTGGATCAACAGTTGCTCTGGTTTTGTAGACTAACGTGTTTAGCGGTGACAGAGTAGCGTATCAATGGCTCTTACGAGCTCTAGATTAAATTACAATCAACTCAGATACAATATGCTGGCTGGGAAAGGAAATTTGATGGGGGAGAGGGGGAGAGGGGGGAGAGAGGGGAGAGGGGAGAGGGGAGGGGGAGAGGGGGAGGGGGAGAGGGGGAGAGGAGGAGGAGAGGGGGAGGGGGAGAGGGGGAGGTGGAGAGGAGGAGGGGGAGAGGGGAGGGGGGAGAGGGGGAGGGGGTTCTCTAAAAAAATTACCATATCATGACAGCTACTAGTCTCTCTGTAATATTGAAGTATATTTTCACTGTAACACACATTAAAAATTCACTGGAGTACACCTACATAACTCTATTGTAATACATTTGAAGATCTCTACCTACATTTACATTAAGCACTATGATAACATTGCTATTTTTACTGGATACTTCTACAAATCTATGACAGCCATTTTTAAGGCAAAGAATGTTGTACTCATAGCAGTGTAAGTGTAAATGCAGGTATTGTTTAGAAATTTGTAAGGTCTGTGCTTACAAGTTCACCGCAATGTCAAGCTATGTCTTGTGCAGATATAATGATTATGAAACATGCTGAAGGGAAATGAATCCTGTCCCCATATATCCTTTCACATTATCCCAATAACAAGATTGTTATCATTATACAGCTCTCTCAATCAATGCTTGTCTTCTAAGGTTTATTATTCCGCTATCTCTATCCCCAAACAGGATGGATGATAACGATGTTGTGTCTCTCTTTCTCTTTCAAGATTGGTAGGCTCAAAAACATTGGATGAGCGGGACTTGACAAGTAAGATCCTGGCCCTGTTTCATAAAACTTGTTATCAATAACAAATGCTTCATATCTATGATATATTCACTCCCAAGCCAATCAAATGTCACAATTTCAGTAGCTTATAACAGTTATTGTAGCTTATAACAGTTATTGTAGCTTGTTATTGATGATCAAGTTTCATGAAACCGTGCCCTGGATTACATCTAGGTACTTGCCTTCATGAATTACTTATCTGGGGAACATTGGTTTACTGGGGCTTTTAATTGATGCAAAACAGAAAACGTGATGTGATGTTTTTCTAAAATATTTCTAATGAAAGCATACATAATTTGTTCATAGAAAGTCATAAATTTCACAACGTCCAGTGCATGGGTGCTCACCATAGAGTTGATTTGAGGTAGTCCCACCATAACAGTTTTAGGAAAGTAGTAAGTCTATGTCAAAATGTATGCAAGAGATCCATTATCACTGTGCCATCCCCCCCCCCCCCCTCCCCACCACCCACCTGAAAAGACATGGGATCCTTCATTTCAAAGTAACTATGATGAGAAAACATATTTGAAGACACAGCAGGACGGTATCTTCAAACAATGCAGTAATTTCTTTTCAGAGTTGACCTTAGTCCTATCAATGACAGGTCAAGTTTTGCATTGAGTGTCAAATAATTAAGATCATGTACACTATCAAACTTCAGTATAATATGGGGCTGGATCCTCTGGGGAAGGAGGTGGGACAGAGGAGGAGAAGGGGGAGATGGGGGAGAAGGGAGAGAAAGGGGAGAGGGGGAGAAGGGGGAGAGGGAGTAGGTGTAGGCCAACTTCGTCTACGGATATCCGACTGCTTCATACATGCAGTTGACCAACAAAAAAGTTGTGGTTTACTCTGTACCTTTCTATAAAATTCAGCCTCACTTTCATAGAAAATGAAGTCCTCCCTAAATTGTTAAAGGTTGTTCATTAACATCTGTACTTCATTCAACATTTATCTCCCTCATTACCTTGCTGCCCATGACACTTTGTATCATGCCAATAAATATCCCAAATTATATACCTCACTTTAGAAATCTAGCTATGTGATTGGTCAAAATTGGAGTCGTGATTTTAGCCATGCCCGCCTACCAGTCAATAATCTTTTGAAAAGTGCCCTCTTACCCGCCGACCGGTCAATTGTCTTTTAAAAAATGCCCTCATGCTGCGATCCTTATTGGTTTACATGTTAAAATTGCAGGCACCATAAAGTGCTTTTTGTCTGCGACTCCCAAATGATTGAAACTTTCAGTCATTTTTCCAGCAAAGATTAACAGACAGTGTCTCAGATTTTCTGTGATGTTCTAGCCAATCTTTACTCAAGAACAGGATAAGGTAAAAATTCTTGGTAGATTTTTGTGTCCATTCGGTATGTGAAAGACATATCGATTGCTTTAATATTCGAGGTCTGGCTCTCAAAGCAGTCGATATGTCTATACTATGCACTACTTACAGGGTTGCTGACCAGCGTTGCAAAGAGCTCCCCACCCTGGATGGTGCCATCCAAAGCTGGCTTGCCTCCATTGTATTCACTGAAGAAGTTCGTCTTGGTGAAGAGTGTGCACGTCTGTCTTGGCAACACCTGATATTAAACACAAAGAAGGAAGTATTTGGAAGGAGTTTCTATGTAAGGGAAACCTCAAGCAGGCTTGTAAGTTGTATGCCTTAAAGTAACAGTCTCAAAGTGTATTGGTAAAATCAAATAGAAATAAGATGAAAGTTACGCATGATAGATTGAAGCAATTGCACAGAAGTCTCTATGTTAGGGAAACCTCATGCAGGCTTAACATTTGTACATCTTCAAAAACCGTTTCCTAAATTTACAAAACATTTTGGGAAAGGGTCCTAGATTTGAGATTTGTCCACTTTTGACAGCTTGTCAATGATTATATCCATGAACATTGCATGGATTTCCCTTTACACAAAATTCTTGTGGTAAAAAGAACGAACAAACACAAAATAAAAGTGATCTTCATCAATTTCTATGCATTTCCTGCTTTTTCCTTTTTCAGCCATTGTCGATCCACTGCAGGATGAAGGCATTTATAGCATGATGTCTCTAAATGTCTCTGTTAAGTGCTTGTTGGTACCAATTAACCAATTTACAAATTTATATGTATTTAAAAAAAAAATGATTTAGAGAGAAAAAAAAGTAGCATTCATGTAGCTATGAATTCAGTGTTCCTCCTGAGTGCTTTCCATATTGTGGAAGTAGCTGCAAGGTTGCACAAACTGTCTTTATCTGGTATAGAACCAGGGTCTTTGGGTGAGTACGCCAACTGCCTTAACCACTAGACCATGGAGACAGGTTGAGTGTTATACAGGTGTTATACAATGACTGAAAGACGTCCATTGCTTTGCTTTTGTGGTGATAAGGGAGTATTGAACAAGAAAAATGAATTAAAAGATTATGGCTACCGTATTTGCCGGCGTAAAGGCTGCAGTATTTTTGGAAGAGAAAATATCAAAAAGTAGGGGTGCGGCCTTTGTGGAGAAAGAGTAAAAAAAAAAAAAGGGTTACAAGTCAAAAACACGAATTTGTACATATGGGACAACAATGAAAGGTGATGGACATTTCTAGAATAACTGTCTAGAATAACACATGTCTTACCGACAATTATGTGTTATATTTTTTAAATAGCCGAGCGGTCTAAGGTGGTGGTTTCGGGTCCCAATCTACATTTGTACGCAAGATGTTAAAATCGGGAGTGCAGCCTATGCGGCGCTGCGGCTTTATCGCCAGCAAATATGGGTATACATCACTATGGCTAAATTTCCCTATAGGGTGATTTAGCTACCTGTTCCATACCAGGCAATAAAACTGAAAAAAAAATATGGCTATACATCACTCTGGGTAAATTTCCGTAATGGGTAATATTGTTTCCTGACCAGTGCCTCAAATAATTCCATAAAAAGCCTTTGTATTGTGTTCAACGAGTACTATCATGCTATAGAACCGAATTGTGACGTAGTAGGTCAATGGACATACTGGCCAAGTTGTCAAGGTTGCTGGTTCCAAACAATTTTGTGCTAAACAATGGTGTGGTGATCACACCAGCCCTAACCACTGAATTTTCCCTGCTTCAGCCCGTTGCTTGAATGATTTCACAGAGAACCTCATGTACGCAGGCTCTGTTGTTTAGAACCAGTAACCTCGACGATGAGCGAATAAATAACGTAAGCACTTTGGTACATTACAATGTCTTCTCATAAAGCATACTATCAACCAAAAGAGATTAAAGATTTAGAGATCTTTTGCTTGGCTTAGTCCTTGATTTTTTCTTTGTAGTTTCATAATGAGCTTACCATGATGTCTTTGTAGATGAAACCTCTTCTTCGGTGAGCTGGTCGGAGGTGAGGGTACTCTTCGGTACTGGTGGCGTCGATGCCCCAAATCTCCTTCCATAGAGAGTAGAGGTCCTCATGGACTGGGTACACACCGGAATGATGGGGGGCAACCGAGTACCCCTTCATGATTGGGATGTTATTGTCCTGAGATCAAAAGACAGAGGGAGAGAGAGAAAAGGGGGAGGGAGGAGAAAGAGAGAGAGAGAGAGAGGGGGAGGGAGGAGAAAGAGAGAAAGAGAGAGAGAGATACAGAGAGAAATGTCAGCACAGTTTTATGATAAAAACTAAAAATAACTGCTTTTTTGTATTACCGGTATACTTTTTTAATTTGAATAATTGATGAAAGTGTTTACATCAGAGTACTATCAACTCTTTCCTTGTGCAGGGCTTGTAATGTCTGTCTTGTGTGTGCACGTAAAATGTTATTTTATCCTGGGCCCCCGCATCACAAAGCTTAGCAATTGATTGTACGATTGATTTTCAAGATGGACTCTGCATAGTAATTAATGCTATCAAAGTCACATGGAATTCTATGCCAAAAACAGTACCATAACTTTGACATTTGGCAAAGAAAACTGACAGGTGCGAACACAATGAATACAGACGGTTTACACCTATGAACATTTTACATTATTTATTTTCTACTGTTATGTATATGTGCTTTTGTGCTGTGACATTTTATAATAATAATAATAATAACATTTAATTTTTACATAGCACTTAATACAAATGTCTCTAAAGTGCTTTACAAATATACTATTACCCCGGTCATTGGATTCAGTGCTTGCCCACACACAATGTGAGCACAATCTCCACTCCCTGGGGAGCATGGTAGGGTCAATGTTCTTAGTAATAAATGGTCTCAGCATTAATGGCCCACAGCCATGGACATCTAGGAAGCAAAATCACATGGCACTTTATCGGCGCTCCTACATTTGCTCCTGCGACAATTGTTCAAGGTTTTATATCATCAAAGATACAGGGTTAGTGCTAGGGTTGCAACTTGATTTATAAAGCTAGGTATAGGTATAGGGTTAGGGTTAGGGATAACCTGTGGTCCAAGGTTGATGTCGTGTAGGAGTTTGGTTGGCGTAGGACTAGGATATCTACCGCAGAGCATTTGCTGCCAGCGTTTAAGTCCTACAACCGCTCATCGGCTTCAAGAGAGAAGACTTAATCTCTTTACACCAGCCTTTACTTGCATGGCAATGGAGATTAGTTGTAGAGATAAGTGGCAGGATGTTTGATCCATGTGTGATTACAACTGGTAATGAGTCTAGACACAAGATTACTCATTCACCTACCACAGGTGTCCAGAATCATACAGGTATTTGTATTCGTTGTTAGGGTACGAACAAAATGGAGAACTAAAAAGAAAGTATGGGAGCTCTTATTTGGCTTGCTGTTGTACTTGTAGTAGAGATTTTTCATAGTGATTTTTTAAACTTTTCATTGTTTTGTTTGTTTAATGGGGCTCCCTCTCTCAGGGTTTCCTGAGTTCATCACAAACTAGCTCGGACGGGCGCAAATTAGCCCGCTAATTCCCAAATAGCGGGATATTTTGGGAAACAAGACCTATATTTCTTGGAATGTTTTCTCAGCCAAATATCCCACTAATTGCAACTGCCGGCTAATGAAGACGCAAATTAGCTGGCTAATTTCCGATCGGGCTAGTTTAAATAGCAGGTTATTTGGCAAACTCGAGCTGATAAAGAAAGGCCTTCTCAGACCTACATTTTTTACACACGCACATGTATTGTATTGTAAATATTACCCTATAAGCCTGATAAGGGCATGAATTTACTTAGTCCCACTTAGTATTTCCTGAGTATGTTTAGATAAACCTGGAAAGTAAAGGAAGCTACCGGTAAAAAAGGATATCCACCAGCTGTAAATATGGTGCGTGGTAACTCCTTACCACAAAAAGGAAGTCTAGATTTAAATGACACAACAAACTGAGCTCTCATTGTTGTAACATCCATGTTGTATATATGCTATCTCTTGTCTCAGATATATTTCGGAATGTGATACTCTAAATTAGTCTAAGAAAGATGAATTGGCAATAACATATTAAAAGTACACCAGGAAATTAGTAATGTCATGTTTGTCAACATGATCCACGTGCCAGGGTTTCCTTAATCTCCTACAGCAGGGGCTCCCAAACTTTTTGTTTGACAGTCCAGATGTGATTTCTATGCAAGTTTTAAAAATGGGATGCCATTTGCCTGAAAATTCTTACGGTCATTGTATACTTCAAATTAAGTAGAACAATGTACAATTGATTGCTGGGAAGCTGGGCACGACTCAAACATTACTCAATTTTGTTTCAGACTCAGACAATTTACTCCTCAATTTTATAGTTTTACAGTTTGTATCTGAATATAAATTAACAATTGCCTCTGAAAACTGTATGTAGGCCTTAACGTGTACAGCTATGTACAATGTATACAATTGAAGGAAGTTTCTTTGATAACTATAATTCAGCCCATATGCATTCCACATGTCACTTCAAATACAGTCAGTATTGATTTTGTTCTCTCTTCCAAGTTCAGGTCAATGTCTCATTACAGTTGTAATATGGTACAGATCAATGGACTTGTATGAAGTTCAATGCCAGACTAGCTCAAATCATCCATTGTGTTTTGCATACGATCCACAGTTTACTATAGTGAAAATTCTAGATTCAAAATTACACAAATAGGTGGTAGTACTGCTAAATCAAGGGTCATCTTTTTGTATAAATGCTTTAATATTTCCTTTTATTTCTTTTTTGTTTGTATGGTATTGGCTTTCTGTCCATTCTTGTATTTTGTAATGAACTTGCAAAATGGAAACAGCTCATGTTATCATCTATTGTGTTTTGCATATGATCCACAGTTTACTATAGGGAAAATTCTAGATTAAAAATTACACAAATAGGTGGTAGTACTGCTAAATCAAGGGTCATCTGTTTGTATTTCTTAAATGCTTTAATATTTCCTTTCATTTCTTATATGTTTGTATGGTATTGGCTTTCTGTCCATTCTTGTATTTTGTAATGAACTTGCAAAATGGAAACAGCTCATGTGTTATAATTTGTAATGTAAACAAGTGCTGTATTCTTCAAACTAATGAAAGTACAATAGACAATAATGAGAATGCTACAATACATGATGATTACATGTACCTGACAAACTTATCATTTGGTCTAATGACTATTTAGGCTAATATTCATTTGGTCTAATTTCCATATGGTCTAATCTGCAATTACATGTAGTCCACTACCCAGTTGATATATTCTTGATTTAGTCTAATATAATAACAGTTAGTCTAATTCCCATAAATTGATATGCTTGGGTGGTTTATTGCCCTTTGGTCTACAACAATGCCTATTTTGTCATTTTTAAAATTTTTGCATGTTCTTTCTTATGTAAATGTACACAATTCTTTGTCATGATGTAATGTGCTCCCTCAAATTTTTGAAGCACCTTGAGCATTTAATTAAGATGGATAATGGCACTATATAAATCTCATGTATTATCATATGTACAGTCTACAAAATGGGCATTAAACAAACTGGTTGTTGACCAAACTGCAATAAACCACCCAAGCATATCAATTTATCCAGCAGTTTTACAAATGTACCTGACCAGGTACCTCGATCCTTGCTTATATGGCTGTTTCGCATGTCTTTCCTTAATCTCATTCATTCCCATTCAATATAACGTAATCCCCATACACTTTTCAGTCTTCTCCATGCATCTCAGGGGGAAACTGCAAGTCACCCATTTCAAAATTCCAGCTGTCAACAAATTTGGACAAAATCCTACTTTGACAGCATAGCACTGAAAGGGTTGGATTTGTTCCACATTGATAATGATTGCAGTATACATCTACCGTAGTCATGGCTGATACACGAACATGCAGCGCCTACATGTACTAGATTTTTTTTTTTAAATTAAAAAAAAGATGCTAAAAGTGATTTGAAAGCATGGTAGCACCTTGATACATGTATGCATACAAGCTGTGGGTTAAAGAAAGAAGGTACTGTATACTGTCAGGTTTTTGTATTGTTGTTATGTACACGTGTGTCCTACGATTTGGCTTTGTGTTCAGTGATATATTTCATGAGATTATTTTATACATGCAGCAAAAAGAATATATGACAGCTGTAAGCAATTTAGCTCTGGTAAGCTCTATAAGAGCTCTGGTAACACACAATAACACAATTATAATACTAAAACTCTCCCGTGAACAGAAATTAAAACTGTATTATATATTCCATACAATAATATTTTCTAATGTACTGTACATGTACATGTAGATATCTAATAAACTACAATATAAAATATCAACGATCAAGCTTAACTTACACTAGATTATAATCTGTCCCATTCTCTTTATATACATTGTATTGTACATCCGGCCTGCTGCCACTAACATTTTCACCCACAGTCACCAGCACTACAATAGGAAGTGGTGTAAGATTTCAGTACCTCTCATGGATCGGTTTCAAAGATTTATCGCAGAACATTGTGGAATTAAAAGAGAGAATACTTCCGTTCTGCAAGGCACCAAGAGGTGGCAGAGTATTATTTTCTGTCTCAAAGTCTTAAATCTTGTTTGTAATCGTATCATGTTGTAGACTGCCAATGTGTTGAAGGCAGCCAGCATATTTTAGAAAAACAGCAGCTACATGTACATGTATGTATGGGGAGGAACATGTACATGTTGGCCTACATGAATTTTTTCAGTTTTCTTTTTCCCAACGATAAATCAAGATTAATAAACGTTAATTCCACAAACAGAATTGACAAAAGACTTAACTCAGTTTCGTTGATGATCAGCCATGCATGAAGTCTTTTGTCTTCTGTGATTGTTGGTAGGGCAGGCAGCCAGTGGAACAGATAAGTTTAATAAAATTAAACAGAACCTTTGATATTCCTGGCTCTTTTTTCCTGATTGAGGTGCCAAAAGGGCAGAAAATGAACATTCTAAAAACATGATATTCTCTTTGAAATTCAGATACTGTTTGCCAAATGACTTTTTGGTACCCTTTCTTCAAATTATTTTTAATCACTCATCAGTCATGCTTCATATATGCATCTGAGTTGCATCAAATGAAAGAGGAGAATCTAAGCTTTACATAACTTTACAAATGTGTGTCATTTATAAATTATAATTGTGATTTTTAAAAGTTATGATAAAACATCAAATATTCTTGGTTTAGTTTTTTTTCTGGGACACACTGAATAGCTGTAGAACATCATGTCATGTTTATATTTATGTTATATTAACATTGTCATTGTACATTGATAACTTTTGTTTCAATGGTGGTGAATAAATAAATTCTCAATTCAATGGGTTACTAAAAAAGGAAAACCTTCCCTACATTTTAAATGCAGCACCATCAACAGGCATGCCTGTGGAGGGCTATTGTTATCAATATTTTCTTCACTTTATAGGGAAACAGCACAGCCTCAAATTTTAACTGACAGGAATTCAAAATCAAAACTGACAGGTACAAAAATATTCATTGTGTAGTTTGTGGATTTTACATAAATGTGGATTTCAGTGAAAAAATACACGGGGGCTCAGGGTGAATTTGCCCCCGAAATGCCCAAAAGAGCCCCCGAAAATCAGAAAGGAGCCCCCAAAAATCAGAAAGGAGCCCCCAAATATCAGAAAGGAGCCCCCGTAAATTTGCAAAGAGTTCAATGCAAAACAAATTTTAGAGTGTTATTTTTATGCAGGCAAGCTTGAAAAGTAGCCCCCGAAAAATAAATACTGGTGGATTTGACATCAATTGTATTTGAAATCACTGCGTGTCTACAGAAAATGTAAATAACAATTGTGCAGAAGGGTACATACATGTACAGTACATTACTGTATATAAGTAAATGCTAATATTGTCCAAATTGCTTTATTCTCACTCAAAACATGTTAAATATTTGCTATTCTATCTACAGTTGTAACAATAAAGAAAACAATGGTTTTTCATTGCAATGGGAGATTTCTAAATTGTTTTTGGATTTTACAAACACCAGATTGTCATATATAATATTCTCATATAAAAATTAAAGATGAAGTTGAGTTCTGGTCATGCGATTGCATTGTGAAAGAAACGGTGTGGAACCGACCAAAAAAGGTTGATCATCTAGCATATAAGAATTTGTGGGTATTGCAAGGTTCTTGAATCATCAAAATGATAGAAATTTGGCCAAGTCTTGGTAAAGTTACAAACACTTGCACAGAAAGATGTATATGGGACTACACGAACACGTGGCATAAAAAGGTGCCCCCCCCCCCCCGATTTTTACGATGTTACATGCATATTTAGAATATGAAGGCATTTGAAGAGCCATGCTTTTCAGGGAACATGTCTTAACTGATGTTCTTCCATACTTGCATAATAAGAATGAGTAATGCTCACAAATTATTTTTCACCTCTTCCCAGAACTCAACCTTCTCTTTAAAGGATTTGCAAAGCTAAAATAATTTTGCAAGAGGTACCGGTAGCATGAATGTGAAAAAAGAGATTCTGGATTTATATGTTTCATAGTACATCTATGACATATGTATGCAGTATGCTAAAAGATATTTCATATTTATTACATTACAACACTTCATCATATTACCGTGTATGTGTTTTAAAAATAGTTCCATATTCAATGCAACTGGTAAGAGTCATTTTTGAATAACTCATCACAGACTGACAAGTGGATAATTGAGGCCCCTTCTCTCTCTCTCTCTCTCTCTCTCCTCCTCTACCCCCGTCTTTCTCTCTCTCTCTCTCTCTCTCTCTCTCTCTCCCTCCCTTCCTCCCCTCCCCTCCCCTCCCCTCCCCTCCCCTCCCCTCCCCTCCCCTCCCCTCCCCTCCCCTCCCCCTCTCCCTCTCCCCTCTCCCCTCTCTCTCTCTCCCCCTCTCTCTCTCTCTCTCTCTCTCTCTCTCTCTCTCTTCTCTATCTCCCAAGTTTTTTTTAAGTATGAAGCTAACCATCGATCTTGCAGCAAGCTTGGGAACAGGCCGGACGACGATGACATCCAGGGAGAAAAACTGATGGAATGAATATTAGGATATTCGTGATAAACCATTCAGGCCTCAGGGGAAACTAAATCGTTCCTGCCTGCCTCTTGCCAGTATGCATAATAACTCAATAATACACCGCATTCGCAAGCAAAAAGATTTATATTGAATCTACTTTCCCTACTACTGGGAAATGACGACTGTGTGCGCCGAGGGTATGGATGTGGGGGTATGGTGTCTTTCGATATATAATAGCAAAGGAGAAATGAGTCATAAATTACGGTCTGGATTCTGACTTTGATGATAGGAAATGAATAATGCCTTTTATCTTGTCTTAGTCAGACCGTTAACCACAGACAGGTCCCTAGTACAGATCAAATTTTTGAGCACGGGGGATAACTTGGAACATTCACCACATGTAAACAATTTCGTAGAAGCATTAAAGGTACATGTACATGTATTAATGTCACAAAACTTCTTTCACTGTTTCTGAATTTCATGTACAGTATGAAGGGGCATAAACGTTATTTAACCTGAAGTTTTAGATCATAAAACTATACTTTTTCTAAAGTACATGTAAATGAAATGAAAATGTCACTTCTTCGAATAAAGCGCAAAAATTAATGTAAAAAGGTGTTGAAATGTACTTCGGTCTTAAAGCCCCACTGCACTACTTATAGCTACTTGCGCCCTCTATAAAGCAAACAATGTCTAATTGGCGTCTGTTGGTCCCCATGATCCCCTTTTTCTTATGTTAATTGAGAGCTGATTTAATGAGATAACTACCTGTCAGTGACCTTGCAGGGAGGTCTAATCCCCCTTGCCAAATTAGTACAGACGAGCTTTAAGATCACCCAAAGAAGTCAAAGTTACATCAAATAGTGTCACATTGTAAACTTAACCAAAAAAAAAGAGTTTTGACAACTTACCACAGCAAACTGCTTGTTGAGCAACATGAGTTCCTTCAGCTTGGCTTTGGTCTTGAGTAGGTGAGGCTGCATGTGATCCCACATGTGAGGGAACCACCAGAAGTGCTTAGCCTCCTGCAGGAGCTTGCGGTCTCCTGCATTCTCCTCCTCATCTCCATGCTGGAAGAACTTGCCAGAGTATCCCAAGTTGAAGCGGAAACCTTTGACAAGTTCCTGGATTTCTCCTTGAACCTTGATCATGTTCTGTTTGGATTCAACAGCATGCAGAGAAAATGAAACGAGATGAAACATAACTGTGGTAAAAATTCTGTAGGCCCTAATACTACTAGATTCATAGATGATGAGTTCAATATCTACAATGTAAGGGCTTAAAACTGACAGGGATCCAGTGAAAATTTGCCAAAATTGTCAACACATGACCTGACATTTCAAGGACTTTTACTAATTTTTATTTAATTATTTACCCTTTCCATTTTTATATTTTGCTTTGTATAAAACAAATTTATTTATAGTCCCAATTTATACATATATTTATTTGAGTTTAATTTCAAAGTTTTCACTTTAAAGTTGTCACTTTCATTACTATGGACAAATGTATTTCTTTTAGGTTTTGTTTTATTATTTTGTTCATAGCAGGGCTCCCTTGTGAAACAGGCTCTCTTATCTTTTTCTTAAAAATGCAGGGTAGTCCCTTTCAGACACACAGAAAGGGACTACCTTCATTTTTTGGGGGGAGACATAATAAACAAATTTGAAGCAATAAAAAATAAATACTGTTTCAATACATGAAGAACACAAAATTACAATTAAGACCCCCCTGTCAAAAAGTAAGTGTGGGGCCTATAATTAAACACTCAACAAAACAAATGATAAAATTGGCTTATTCTGACTAATGATTGTTTACTCATTGAAACTACAAGTAACCACTGTAAGCCAGTAAAGCTACATCAAACCCACTACATTCACAGGCTACTTAAACAAGTTTTGTCCAAGGAATGGAGGCTTTCTACACATGCAGGGTATTTAACTTGATGACAACCTGCCCTGCAAAAAATATTGTTTTAAGTCAGTCAAAGACCCTGTAAACTGGTCAGGTTCCAAACACGGACATTTACAAACAAGGACAATTTGACAGTAATGATTAAAGGCCTTCACATGCCTTGTATATATTACTCATACACAGCAGGGAAACAAATCACATTTTGGAAACACTGACGTTGTACTGTATACCCTTGCCAACTTTATTTGATCATTATGCCCCCCCCCCCTCACTCCTTCAGCCCTTTTCACAAAGCGTTTTTTTTTCTTCTTTTTTTTTCTTCTTCTTCTAGTTTTCTTGTTATAAATAATTGCCTTCTCTTTCTTCATATATATATATATATATATATATATATATGCCAGTTTTTTTTTAATTCTTTCCCCTTTTCGCTACGATGCTCAATCAGTGTTGACTGAAAAGTGAAAACTAGGTCTTACAACTGACTGAAGCCCAGGATGCATGATGCAAATTCTCATTTCCTCACCCCAATATCCTGCACAATACAGTCTTCGTTCCGCTTTCTCCCACCCCACAAGAACTATCTCATTTCATAAACTCGGCGCTGACAATGCTAAAGATGTTAATGGCTTGGGAAAATACTTGTTCTCACCGATATGACACTCTCTATTCTTCCAGTAGAAAAAATGAAAATACCTGCATTGTTTTGCATTGTTTTGCAACTTATTTTTCATAACAATGCATGATTTCCTACATGTATATATTTCAATGATCCTCTATTCCATTTGTCCTTTGTTCTCTTTTTTTCCATTCCAATTCTATTGATGATTAAACCTTGATCACCATTCTGCATAAGCCTAAATGTGTTCCTACAAACCCTCTTCCGAATCTTGAGATGCAACTTTTTTTTTTGGAATGATGAATAAACACAAATTTTGATTCTCTTTTTAATGATTTGCCTGTTTATACATTACATGTAGGACGTCATGCAAGATAGACATATGTCACTCGTCATTAAAAAAGAGACTTTGTGTTAATAGGATCAAGTGTCATAAGCTACTTTTCAGCTCTTTATACTTTCCCCATTCTTATGTCCCTCTAAAAGTATTTTACCCAGAGATAAATTTTGATCTTCTTTTTAATTTGCCCGATTATAGGACATCATATGTACACGTCATTAAAAAATGGGAGCCTCTTGATAATCGGATCAAGCGTTGTAAGCAACTTTTCTCGCTCTTAATCTTGTGTCCCTCTGAAAGTATTTTACACCTGACAAAAATTGTGATCCTCTTTTTAATGATTTGCCCGATTATAGGACGTCATACAAGATACATGTACACGTCATTAAAAAAAAGAGCCTCTTGTTAATAGGATCAAGCGCTGTATTAAAGCCCATCTTTTAACCCCCGCCTGAACCCCCCCCCCCCCCCCCCACTGCTCTTCTAGACCTTCATGCTACAAGTTGTCTTCCTCCGAGATCCTACAGGAGAGATAATTTCATCTGTCCCCTTCCCTTCCTTTCCTCTGTCTCGCACAATAGGAAGATTTCCTTTCACTACGTCTAATCCTCTTTTCACTCACCACCCATGATTCACATCACCTTCCTTATCCGTCAGATTTGACATTGCTAACTTTTGGCAAGTGTACAAGTGATTTCGAGATGACTACTGAGTCAAATAGGTGTAAAATGGATTATATTCAGTGAAAGTACTAGTAAATGGAGATTATAGCCAAGTTTTCAGACTGAATGTGAATGCACCAGAATAGCAAATAGGGTATAAGCTTGAACAACATTGCAGTCGGCTAATCAGTTTTTATTTTAAAAAGGGTTTGAAGGAATCAATGCATATATTTGTGATATGTCCCAGATTTGCATTTTTTGTATTGGAATATCTTGAATATGTCCAAGAAGTAAGTCTTAGTGTCATATTGATAATATTACTAATACTACTACTACTACTAATAATATTAATTATAATGAATTAATGATAATAATAATGATAATAACAATAATAATAACTGTTTCTTATAAAGAACTTTACCAGTTACAACGCACCTGACCAAAGCTCTTACAGTATCATTACCCCACCAGATGAAAGTGTAGCATCAACTCTCTCTTCCCTGACTTATTGAGAATTACAAAACCATTTCTTACCTCAATATCTGAAGCCTTGAGCCGTATGCCAATCTTCCCAACAAAGATATCATCAATGTCGATGAGAACGTATCGATCCAGATCAGTTTGAAGTTTCCCAGCAGTCAAGTGTGCTATACTGTCCAACACGAGTACCATGTGCAAGAAATGATTTGAAGAGTACCCAAAGAATATCCTCTTGATACCGTCCATCCATCCTCTGTCATACACCACACAGATCTTACTGTTCAGTTTGGCTTTCTCATCAGGGTGGGTTACTACTTGGAGTGGTACTGCTAAGTTTGCTTCCATGACAGGAACGTAGGTAGAATGATTTGTCCTGAAGGTGGTCCAACGATCCCCAGGCAGGTTACCAAAGAATCTTACGTTGGATCTTGTTATCCGAGGAACACTGCTGCTTTGGTTGACGATGGGGTCTTTTAACCTTGCATGCTGATCGATATACAATGGAAAGTTTCTGATTTGGTTGAAATCACTTGTTACCTCTGGTTGTGTAAATATAATAATGCCAACATTGAATGCTCTGCAGTACTCTTGGAGAACCTTTGTTTTGACACTGCTCAGATGCCCGTAGGATCTCAGGCTCTCAAAAATAATAACACTGAACAAGCCCTTGTCATCATCCCGGGTTAACGATGGCCATACACTATCATGCACCAGGGCAACTTTCACATTGAAACGGTGCGATTGCAAAATATTGAGCAGGTTTCGTCCAGAGTCTGACATCTCTAAGAAAACCAGCACCAATCCTTCTGTATCCTTGATATGTCTTTCAGCCATTTGGTAAACTGGTTCTCCTTTCAAAAGGCGCTGGTGTAACTTAGTTCCTTCCTCCTCAAACTCTGGAGGACTGTCCATCGGTGAGCCACCATGTGCTTCATCAGCTAAACCAACGCCCCTTACTTTGGGTGACTTTGTCCTTGATATGGAATGGTCAGAGAAGCCTTTGGACTGGACATCCGGTAGATGGGTCTGAGGCCGTACCTGGATGATTTGCATGGTAAGCATCCACAGAGAGGTCAAACTGACCACGACGATGACCATGAAGCAACGGCGCGCCCGCCCTGGGATGAAACAGCGGCGCGTTGCCAACTTGACACTGCTACAGATCATGGCTGCCGTACTTGCTCAATTACTTCTGCTAAAAAGTAAACTGCCCTTTCTAAGAGCAGTTGTTGGTCATCATAAGAGATTGATGCTGTGGCCAAGACTAAAATAACTCCATTGTACCTGGTAGTCAGCTAACACAATTTGAAGGGTTATGTACATGTAAAACCCTAACCATCAAAAGTATTAACATCTATCATGTCAACAAACTACAGCTTACAATACTCCATGTGTTGCATTCATTTTCATCTCACTAGTACTCTTGCAATCTTAAAGGTCTCCATACTCATCAGATATCCATGTTCTTCTGCTCAGCTCACATGTTTTTCAATCAAAACACTTCTTCAAGAGTCCAGATTATGACCTAAAATAAATAATGAAAAAAGAAATCGAGAAGAAGTAAAGGATTTAGAAGTCATTGCAAATTTGCTGTATTGAGATTATAAAAGTGTACTAGAGGTACTTAAAAGAAACAGCGAAACCAACAGTAGAGTAGTGATACAATTCTCTTCTTCTGCGCATCATCATCAGCAAAAACTCTTACTCTTTGGAGAGTTTTGACTAAGGAACTTTCACTCACACAAAGAAATATTATTTTAAAAGTCTGTAATTTTGCTGGATTAAAAAAATTGAAGAAAAGGTTTCATGATTCATACCAAACTTACATGTAGAAGAACATGAAAACTGATAGCCACTAACTAAGCCACAAAGTAATTTTAATTAGGATTTAGATCATTATTTTATGGATTGTCTAAATGTGAACAAAAAAATTGTTGTATGTACTGTACCTATTCTTACCTTGTTTCTAAATTACTATGAACAAACAGAGTGAATTGCAAAACAATTTTCCAATATTATCTTAAGTCCAAAATTTGCATGGATTTTCAGCAATATCATTATTACCGGTAGTTGAATCTTGCAATGGCTGCTCAAAAATGTTCTCAGAGGCCAAGACATGAAGTTTAATAGCAACAGGTCACTCTGTGCATGGTGCAGTACGATATACCCAAACCAAAGAGAGACTGGCAAATACATGGCAATATGAACATATTATAAGTGCAAATGAATTTGAACGGAGGTTGGGAAAAATTAAAACGGACTGTTGATTTTGAAACAGACACACCAAATTCTCATTAACTTATTTGGAAACCAAGTTTGAGGCATGTCAAACACAACTTCATAATTCATATACTTGCTACATATGGAAATTGTTGTCACATGAACCACAATTAAAAGAATGCATACCCCAAAAAGGTTTGCATAATAAAAAATCCAACTACACTTTTAAGTTTTGATTTTTTTTTCTTCTCTGCAAATTTAGAGTTAAATGGTTTGATGACCGAGAGTGTAATAAAGATCAATGCAATAGCCTAGGCCCTCGCTTGTTCGCTTCTTTGCCAAGGTACCAGTACACGTTTAAAAAAAAGGACAGGTTGATCTTAGAATAGATTCAATTGACATAATAAAATTAGACAGCTGAGCTAAGCTGAGCCGACTGTAAATTACAGTACATGTTGTTCCCGACCACACAATACACGGACAGATAGCCCGTAACTTTCCCGTACATTGATCAGAGCAATACCGCTCACCCACAAATCAGGGGCATATGAATCGCCTCATAAATTCATGTTCCGCAAATAGAGAATCGTAATAACTTGTTTGGTATGACACATCATATATAAAGGAAAACAAAAGATGTTCAAACTTACCATTTTCTGGTGTCCTTCGGTTGTAAAATATATGTTTTCTCATCTATTTATTGATAACAGTAGACGTGTCTTCTCTTCTAGCGATGTAGTGCTTTAATCACGTAGTGGGCGCGCGGACACCGTACACGCGCACGCACAAGTACCCTAGATGCGTACATTCATGCAAAACAATGAAATGAACACAAACTCGGACCAAGGACACAGGGGAAGTGTGTGGGTGTGTGTGTGTGTGTGAGGGGGGGGGGGCACCAACAAAAACAGGGCACTTTCTGGAGAACAAAAAGGGGCGAGCTAGAGAAAATTTATCATTGGTGAGGTCACAGAGCGAAAAAAACATCTTAGAAAGAGGACAAAGAAAAAGAAAACCTTTAAGCACTAATGAAGAAAGATTGAAAAATTCTTTTATAAAGTAACAATATGACAACTATGATAAATGCGTGCGTAGCGAGCGAGCTCTATAATAGGGAAAAATAAAGAAAAAGGGGCTCGTTCTAAGTCGCCTTGGATTAGGGTTGCATGTTATGGGGAAAGGAAAAGTAGGCACTTATCAGAAGGAAAATGACAGTTATTAGAAAAGTAAAGGCGCACTTGTCAAAATAAAAAGGTTATTGTCAGAGGTGAAAATGGGGCACTTCTTGCATCTAAAAAGGGACACTCAACAGAGATGAAAAAGGTACTTGTGAGCCTGGAAATGTGGAATTTGTTGAAGGAAAAGGGCACCTATCAGATTTTAATAGGGGCATTTATCAGATGCGAAAAGGGGCATTTTGAAAAAGGGAAGGGGCTCATATAAAAAGAAAAAGGAAAAGGGGCACTTATCCGAAGGAAATATGGTACTTATTAGAAAGGAAAAGGGGCATGTGTCAAAATAAAAAGGGGCACTTATCAGAGGTGAAAAGAGGCATTTAAGAAAAAGGGAAGTGGGTTGTTATTACGAAGGAAATGGGGCGCGAGTCAATGTAAAAAAGGGCTCATCAGAGAGATGTAAATAGAGGAAAAGGACAGTTATTAAAAAATAAGTTCTTGTTTTTGGTAACATTTTGTTACATTTAATTAATTTTGCCAGATCATTAAAGTCGCATGAACTGGAAAATAAGTATTGTTTAGTATTTTGCTTTCCCCGTGCGTGTGATGTGACTTTCTTTAATCTCTACTCCTGTAATATGTACACGCTGCTTTTGTTTCATGTTTTCGTCTTTGCCGAATAGATAATGAACTGACATGATGCTAATACACTGTACTAGTTTTTTTTTCTTTACACGACCGATAAGTTAACGGAAATTTTAAAAACAATATTTTCATGCTATATGCTGCATGAACAGTGATTGAAAATTATGTAGAAAACACTTTACTAGGCTCATCATAAGAGGGCGTGATGTCTCTTGACTAATATCCCTCTTGCCTTTCTCCCTTTTCTGACTGTCGACTTTGGGAAGCCACGTTTGTTGAAATGTATTCTATTAAAAATCATAAGTATATGCTAGCATAAGAATTGCAGAAATAGAAACGAAGGATGAACTTCTGAATTTCGATATTTGGTGGTGTCTTATTTTTTATTCTCACAGACATAAAATAGGCAAAACCAAACGACGGAGATAATATCGATAGTCAAAGTAATGCCATCCTATCTCCCTCATTTCCTTTTTTTACCCCTCCCCCTCTTTTCTCTCTCTCTCTCTCTCTCTCTGCCCCTCTCTCTCTCTCTCTCTCTCTCTCTCCTCTCTCTCTCTCTCTATATATATATATATTTCTTTCTTCCTATATCTCACTCCGTCTCTCTTTCTCTCTCTCTCTCTTTAATTTCTCTCGATCTCTCCCTCAAGTGCTAAAAATTGCTTAGTAATGGGAAGAATTAAAGTTAGATAGATAGAGATAGATAGATAGATAATGGTTTTATTGAGAATAAAAGAACAACAATGCATCGCGGCCTACAAGGCCGGATTGGGCAATGTTTTACACATGTAAAATACAGTATATAAAAACATTCATATCAAATAACCTCAAATTAATAAACTAAACTTGAATGAGTAGATTGTTAAAAAAATAAAAATAACTTTAAAATGCTTATTTCTTATTATTTGATCTCCCTTACTCATTTTATATATAAAGGAGATAAAGAGAAGTGAAGAAGAACATGATGGCGGTGTAGAGCAAAGAAAGCAAAGAAAGCAAAGAAAAGAGGATGGTAAGATTAAGAAGAGGATGAAGAGGAAGGAGAAGAGAAAAAGTAGAAGAGAAGGAGGAAGAAGAAGAAGAAGATTCAAGTAGGGATAGTAAGATGATAGACAGAGGGTAGTGCGAATAATAACACTATCATAATGTATCGATATCAATATTCAAACATTACACATTATACAAACTACTAATGATATAGGCGAAGTTATGAAGAAAATAAATACTTATATAAAAAATTGAACGAATTAAAAAAAAATATTCTAAGTTGCTTTTTATTTCTAAAATTTTTAGTATTCTGATATGAACTATCGTCATAAATTAAGGATTTATTTCAAAATCAATGCTAAGTACAAAATCTAAATGTTGTTCATTCGCAAAAACAGTTATTGCCTCTCCCTTTCTCTTTCCTTTCTGTTAGCCACGTGCAGTATCAAAAAATACTGCGTAGTCTATACGTCACAATCAACGCTCAAAATACACGGGGGCGGTGGGCGATTCGCCCCCGTGAGCTCCACAATCGCCCCCGTCAGATGGTTCACGGGGGCGATTGCAAAATTAAAAATCGCCCCCGTGGAATTATAAAATAAAGATTATCTTTTCTGATATAACTTTAACATAATATTGAGTATCAATTTTCAAACCTTTAACCAATGAAATGGAACTTAGATGGCGCTTTCTCTCCCATTTCTATGAGTATTACCGATACAAAGAACGGAAAATCGCCTCGCCGCTACGCGGCTCGTGGACGATGCTCCACATCGTATTTGAGTTACCCCCCCCCCCCACCCTTAGCAAAAAGCTAGATCCGCCCCTGTGTTTTGGAAGGATATGGTTAAGACTAACAGTAAAGAAAGAATGTAAATAAGGTTGCTCCGAATAATGAGGAGGAGAACATTATGTGCAGAACGGGAAGAAATGGAGAGAATGTCATCACGGGATAAAAATACTTCTAAGAGGGAAAATGCCGACTTAAATAAATGATAATGATAAAATACCAAGGAATTTAAGAGTTTCATGGGTACAGATTCAATAGAAATTTGTATTAAAATAAGAGCCCCCGTCAGCACTAAAAGAGCCCCCGTGAGAAGGCTCACGGGGGCTCTTTTTTTTTGGAAGAGCCTCCGTGGACAAAAAATTAATTTGAGCCTTGGTCACAATACCTGTCTATAAATTGCTACGTCACATCACTAAATGTAAACATTAACCAAAGTTCGTTGACACGCGCACGGTAGAGCTAAGCGTATGCGTACCATTGTCTGGTCTATTTTTAGACAAGTGCGCGCACCTGTCTAGACAGGTATTGTGACGTCAAATCAATTTTTTTTTTAATGGGACCGACGTAAAGATCGTACGTCAGTTCGCATTTATTGTCCGTAAGGGTATTTGCCGACAAATAGATCCTCTTTTAGTTACAGTTCTCTAAGTATATTCTAAAATAAATAGGAAATAGGTGTAACTTTTCTAAATTAATTGCCCAAGTTAGCATTAAATAACATTAATTGTCATTGGCATTGTAAAAAATGAAATCAGTTTATAGCAGCAGCTGTAAAACGGTTGTACTTCCGCAAAGGCGGATCCAGGCCGGATCCAGGGGATGGGGTGAAGAAGCCACCCGCCCCTATTTGAAAAGAAGTAAATAAAGAGGTCCGTATTCACTGTAGGATCATCACATCTCCTCCCTTTCTAGACCTGGGGGGGGGGGGGGGGGTTCTCTATTAAATAATCTCCCCTTCCCTTTGAGATAGCTACTCCGACCCCTTCAGAAAATCCTGAATCCTTAGTACTAATGACAATATGTCAAATCCAACTGCACCAGGGAGAGAAAGAAGAGATAACGAGAAGAGAGAGAGAGAGAGTAACAGAAGGAAGAAATCGGGGAAGAAATACAGTGAAATACAGAGAAGTACAGGAAAGAATTATGGTTTCCGATAGAGAAAATTGACAGAGAGAAGAAAAATAATCAAAAGATATGCTACCCTCAGTTTACAGAAGGATTGACGATGTAAAATTGTGTGTTTGGTATAGCGTTCTCTTTTGACGAGTCCGATTAAAATTCGCTGATGTCTCCTCTCTCCGACGCCCCATGTGTACAGATCAATGACAGAAAGCGTCCCAATATAGCGGACTGTGCGAAATTGCAATGACGTCAATTGCCCATTTAGAACAACATAATTTTATGGATACGATCTTTCGATAATCACAAAAAGGCCAGCCAAAATACTGAGATTTCCCCGGAGAAGAGTGTCCAAGCCATAACCAACGATGCTACAGTGGTGAGCAGGATATATGTGAGTTATATATATTTTACGAAACGATATATAATATCCGTATTTTCTTGGAATAACAACTTTTCACGATTTGATCATTTGTGCCCGAAAAAGGAGACAGCTGCAATCCGCAAAATCACACACAGACTGTCCAGAATGGCCATCCCACAAATACATTAGCGTAGCGCGCTCGGTTCCCGACATCCAGCTCAGCTCAGCTCCGACTCCGTCGCTCCAGCTCAGCTGATTATTGATTCACACTGTCTTTAACATTTTTGTTTTTATTTTCACACTCATTTACATGTAGAGATCTAGGCCCTAATGGAGCAATTTATTTGTGACTGTTGCTTGAATCGATGTGTTTTCAAAAGAAAGGATCTCAACTTGTTGAAGTTGTTGTGCATGCATACAGATCTAGTCCCGATCTGTGAACTCTCCCAACCAAACTTGTTTGTGTTCCTGTACTTGTCAGTTTTGTTCATGATCCTGGTATAGTCTATTTTACCATGGCAAATAGTTATTTTTGTTATTGTTTTGCTCAATAATTTCCAAGTCTTCTAAGTTCCTAAGCTGATTACGAATGTAAATTAATTATAGAATAAGAACTTGCAAACTTGTCTTGAGAGTGAAGATGTTGTTGTTGTTCTTGTTCATTGCGGGTCTGCTTCACATCCAAATGATCTCAAGTGTTCTCTCAGTACTTCTGATAGTGAAGATGACAGTGATTTATACGACTCACTTCTAGGTCCTTACCAAATGATTAGTCAAATGCGGCCATGTGTGATTCATTTACTGAGGCTATCGCATGTCATTTCATGAAAAAGCGTGCAATAGTTTCAAGTACTATCCAACGATTTTCAAGTACAAGTATGTGATACATAGCGGTGTGTGTAGAGGTTACATGTAATATGTGTTTGTGTGTGTGCATAGCAATGCGCTTCAACACATGTGTATGTGTTGAGGTAAGTGCGCGTGCGATTATTTGTGTGTGAGAGCTTAAGTAAGCATACTAAAGTACATGTTCATCTGTCAGCGATAATAACAAAAAACAATGTTCAAATATATTATTTTTTACATTGATAAGAGTTTCATTGTATAATACAATGCATGTTTTCATTCGTTCATTACAGGATGTATCCGCTCTAGTTGAGGCTGTTTATGCACCTACTGTACGATGCATGACAGCTCTGTACAAAAGATGCATACAGCCTTAATAATGAACTCAGTCGCATCCATCATTTATGTAGTACATGTCATGCATGTATTTCCAATTTCTTTGTACTTTTGAATGTTATTTGCAAAATTAAAAGTCCAGTGCAGCACTGCAGCACCTCATGGAACCATCCTAGGTCTAATTTACCCAACATCCTAGTGAAATGTGTGTAGTTAGATTAACAGTTCTTTTCAATGTAAATTTAATAACTTGTAGTTAGACCTGGTTCATGAGACTTAAGTTGCCCAGATGAAAAACTACAACAAAACATACACTCTCACCAATGTGTTTTCCTGATGTGATGGTCCCCAGATAATACACCCCTAAATGACAGAAAGGACAAGTTACACATCACATGTACAAGTATTTACAGATGGCATCAATATCTCAACTTGATTCAAATACTAAAATCTAAAATAACAAATATAAGAGGATGTTACAGGTTCATTTTGTGTTGAAGATGTGTCAGCTAGATATATATTTGCAAACCATGAATGCCAAAAGTAGTATTGATACCTGAAGACAATAATCTATTTGGAATGTCTCTCACAAAGACAAAATGGATAGTATTGCAGTAAATATTTTTTTTTTAAACTGAGAACATTCTATTCTGCTAGAAATAAAGATGTTAGTCTCATTCTTGGTATTAAAAACTTGCTTATGTCAGTCACTCAGTCAAAGTGTTCTGTTCAGTGCCAGTTTGCAATTTAAGAACTGCCCTATCTCGCTCCCCCTCCTTGCCCCCTCTTCCAGTGTTCTGGGTTACTCAGGTGTGTTTGACACCAAATCATCTGAAAACACTTCACTACTGTGATGTACATGTATTGTTTAGTGATACCGGTACTACATTTACAATGAAGTAACGATAGTTACATGTACATGTACACTGACATTTTATGAAATTCTTTTTTTAAACTCAAGTGGCATTTATTTTAAAATTGAAAGCAACGATTGGATTTTATTATTTTTCATACATGTACCCTGTATGTCAGTCACATGTACATGTACATGTCTTTTGTAATCTTTTGACTACCCTATGATTATGTTCTGGGGGGAGGGGAACAGGATGGGATTATAGTACTGTCCATCTTTATCAAGACACAAGATTTGTTATTCATATTGTGATGCTATGGCAGGTAATGTGAATGAGGATGAATGAATAGGGACAGAACAATAGAAGCCAAGAGCTACATGTTCACACATCAGACAATGAATGTAGGTCAGGAGTGTACTGAAGCATAACTAAGTGGAAAGCTAAAGTGAAATAAACAAGTAACTATTTGGATCAGTCAAATTATAACCTTACAATATTATACCCTGTGTGTATTACATAACAGGAACAATACATACATTGAAATTAAAATACATTCTTATGTACATGTACAATGGCGACCCTACATGTAGTTAGCTGTAGGAAAATCACCTTGAACTTAGAGAAGAATCCAGGTCATTTGTTGTGTTGTTTTTCCATGGAGTCAGGACTTGAAGCACAAACAGGAAAACTAACATCATGTACATGCATATCTGTTTTGATCCTAGATTTGTCATTCATGATGTTTGTCACAACGTGTGCATATAAAACTATAAACTGTCCTTTTCATAGTTAAACCAAGGAGATTATCTCCTTGGTTAAACTGGAAAGGGTGATTTGAGTTTGATTTCTATTTTATCTTCCGCTGTTTCCCTTAGTTTGCCTCATTTATGATTCTTGGTTCGTGGAAAAGGGATGGCTATTATCTAAATCAGGATTTCAGAGTTTCTTGTACAGTAATTTGGCAATACAGAAATTGTATAAAACTGATTTTATAGTTGAAATTTGTTTGTTCCAAGTCACTGAATATTATCAGTGTACAGCGTATTCTTGGCCTGCATAGTTCATGCCTTCATATTTAAACAGGATACATGTATGGGCATTGGAATTTCGGAAAGCATGTTATTTACATGTATGTTTGAGAGAGAAAGAGCACTCTATTTTAAAGACATGCTTTGAAACATTATGTACATGTATGCCTGTATTATGTAGCTCTACAAAAAGGCCTACCGTACATGTATACAAGTACTATTATCATGAAGAGTATGTACATCAGTACATGTAATGTGACACATTTGTTTAGACTGGAAAACTACTTTGGTACATTTAACTTTTACATATAGGATAATTTTCAGTCTTTCAGCAAACCATGTCAAAGAAATTGAATGTAAAACATAGGCCTACATGTACTGGTTGAAAATTAATACAATGTAGTATACTACGTGAGTTTTTGTGTTCATACTTCATAGCATGTATGTACACATTTGTAGGCCTATAGATAATTATAATAATAATACATGTACATGTACACATACAATGTATGTCTAACTCTAAGCTTCATGCACATTGGCAAATTGTTTAAAATCCATATTTAATTTGCCTGATTTTATTCATGAGACTTGACAATACCGCGAGCAGATATTTTGGCGATCTTGGCCAATCTAAATTACCCCCAAATTGAAAGTAGGTCTTGCTATCTTCTTTCGCACACCTACAAATACCCTGCTAGGGCCACCGCTCTGCGATTATCATAATTGCCCCGGTCCTGCTGGCAAGCACTTGGCATAAATTATGCAGTTTGCGCCAGTAGAGATATGCAGTTGTCAGTGGTGAAAGGGGGGATTTCAGAATCCTTCCAGCCATGGACACATTCTGAGCTGTGTAGTACATGATTGTGTGTCTTGTGTGTGTATTACATCTATGTTGCCGCTACCCTGACTGCCTCCTCCATCCTGTTTGCGAGTGTATGGCTAACACACACCTCCATGTTTTATGTGTGTGTTATCTATAGTATTGATGGTTTGATCTTATTGATGAGAGATTTAAAGGGAAATATAAAAATTGATTATTATTAATAAGGCAGAAATTTTATTTTTGACATATTTTGACGGATAAATAACGAATGATTTTGCATTTGTACATAAATATACATGTACATGTATGTGAACTTGTTGATGCTTTACATGCTGTTCATGTACATCTACAACTTTACATGTAGCAGGCCTACATGAACATACTATACGTGTACATACATCTTTCCTACTGCATGTCCTTATAGTACATGCATGTAGGCTACACATGTTCACCTGTACAGTGTACATGTATACTTGTATACTGTACACATATACATTTAAATGAAAATGCATATTTACCTGAAATTTTTATATTTACTGCAATATTTTTGTATGGCAAATGATGATTTCTGTTATTAATATGTATCTAAGCTGCAGTAAATACTAGAGAGATACATTTATGAAGTACAGGGTGTACATGTACAACAAATGGATTGTATTTGTATTACGTTCATGTAGTAATGTCATCATTCATTCTCTTTGACAAACGAAATGTCAATTCCATCATGATTTACCGTACGCCTTCATCTTGTTCAGGGTCATGTTATGAATAATAATAATAATAGGCATTTGTATTGCACGGCCGATCTTGAACTTCTATTGTTGGTCATGCAAGGAAAAATACATAAATGGTGTATTCTCTTTTCAATCATTGCTAAGAAATTGTATGATTTCTACTGTGACTTGAAACTCTGTAATGATGTTGCAGTTTTCAACTAAATCTTTACCTTCAGCTGATGTGGAACTTATGGTAGTTAAGACAGTGAGTTGGCGTAAATGTACATAGTTTGTTTACATAACAAAGATGGAACTCTGTCATTACATGTATTCTAAGAATAGAATCGATTACTTGTTCTCTAATTAATCAAGAATATTTTTCGGAGGAGAACCGAACAATGCACAAAACAAACGACACTGTCAGTGAATCACCTTTTTTCTTATTTCTCTGGTATCGGTGAAATAATGACTCAGGCTTACGCATCAGTTGGACCAGAGAATGATTCAACGGTCATGATCTTCCTCTGCCTCTCTCCATCTCACTCTCTCCTGCTCTCCGATACATCTCTCCATCTCTCTTTTTGTTTCCTCATCACATTTTCTTCATGCTTCCTCCTTTTCTCCATGTCACCTACATGAAGCTGTAATTATTCAGATTCACTTCATGTGTGTGTGCATTTTCTATTTTTTTTTTTTTTTTACATGTACCGGTAATACCAAATCCTTTGTAAAACTGTATGTACATTGACATGTACACTGTACTGTAGTCTAGCCATGAATGTACGCATAGGCCTACATCAGTCTCAACTCTCTCTCTCTCTCTCTCTCTCTCTCTCTCTCTCTCTCTCTCTCTCTCTCGCTGCATGTTGCTACATTTCTTTCTTTCCATCTCCTTTTTTCAACTGTGAAATCTAAGTTGTTTGTTTATTTGCCGTGATGTGTTTGTGTTGTATATTGGTCTTCTCCTTGGAGATTGGTTCATAATTGCTGAGGAGCAATTAAATGTTGAACATTTCACTTGTGATACTCATTTGCTGCAAAACTGAGGCTGTGTCACATTTGACACTTGTTAGATTGCATTGACTCTTCTTCTCTCCCACCCCCTCTCCCTGAAAAATCTCTCTCTTGCTCTCCTACATGTAAAATATCTGTCAGTGCACATGCAGTAAATTTACATGTTTGTTAATAAGAAAACCTACACTACAAAATGTGTGTTTACATGGATACATTTACATGTACATGTAGGCTTTAATTGGGCTTTCTTAAAATCTACTTTATAATTCTATTCTTTTCTGTACAACCTGTAAGAAGTGTGACTCATGTGCAGATCTGCTATTTCTTATTTCTCATAAACGTGTCAATAGCACATATCAATTAAAATTGTGTGATTTCAGTTGTAATTGCAAAGATGAAAACTGCTTTCTGCAAATCTAGAGATCACTTCTGAAGATGGCCGGGTTTTGTTTTGCTAGTCAAATAACGTAGTGCAAGAACAATCTGCGCTGTACGCATCTATCAATAAATCCTGATTTATGCAACTAGCGAGGACAGATTGTGAAGCTGTGGACGGCGTGGGCTTCATTGCTCAGGTTTGACTATTGGCCTCTGAATTTATTAGGGATTGATTGCTACTGGGCTGTAACACAATAGAGAGATGGACAGTAAGAAATTCATACTTTAGTCATAAAGGCTGAAAGGATTAGGGTGAGGTGAATTTCAAGCCGTGTTTTTTCCCCTTCGCTCAATTGGGAAGGCTGTTTCGCAGATAAAGCACCGTTCCAATTTCCTTTTCTTTTGTTTTGCCTTGATGTCTGTCATTTTGTGAAAAGCGATTGGAATATACATGTAAATGTCATTTACATGTAATTTGTACATGTATTGTAGTTGTTTAAAGTACATGTACACTACCGAAAATAATATATTTGCAAAATATAAACGTTAAAAGGTAGGTTATTTCCTACAGTGTATTTCCCTTTGATATTTCCCCTGTCAGTATCCTTTGTTCCATTAAGTCCTTTTATTTGCTTCCATCAGGATATTTTGAGGCTGTATACTTCCACCAAACTGAATAGCTTCCATTTGGTGGAAGTACTCTTTTGTTTTGAAATTGTAAACAATGATGTTTTTATGTACAAAGTATGTATGATGCATATGCAGCATCCTATGGCTACTAGCTCATATTTTGTTTCTTCCTTCAATGTATAAAGGTTTTTTGTGTGAGAGGCTGGAAGTCATATAATATGTAGCAGTTGAGGAGAACAAAAAGAAGTGTCCGACTGTCTGTGAAGGAGATGGGTATGTGCGTCCATGTATGTGTTGAATGAAGAACACTCTTTGCCAAGCTGCGCCAGGCTCTTTCACTGAAAGCAAGACGTCAAAGATGAAGAAAATAGTGTTAGGGATATGGCATGAGGGATTAAGAGGGAGAGGATGAAGGAAGGGGGAACAGAAAGACATCAAGATGGAGAGGAGGAAGGAAGGGGGAACAGAAAGACATCAAGATGGAGAGGAGGAAGGAAGGGGAAACAGAAAGACATCAAGATGGAGAGGAGAAAGGAAGGGGGAACAGAAAGACATCAAGATGGAGAGGGGGAAGGAAGGGGGAACAGAAAGACATCAAGGTGGAGAGGAGGAAGGAAGGGGGAACAGAAAGACATCAAGATGGAGAGGAGGAAGGAAGGGGAAACAGAAAGACATCAAGATGGAGAGGAGAAAGGAAGGGGGAACAGAAAGACATCAAGATGGAGAGGGGGAAGGAAGGGGGAACAGAAAGACATCAAGATGGAGAGGAAGAAGGAAGGGGGAACAGAAAGACATCAAGGTGGAGAGGAGGAAGGAAGGGGGAACAGAATGACATCAAGGTGGAGAGGAGGAAGGAAGGGGGAACAGAAAGACATCAAGATGGAGAGGAAGAAGGAAGGGGGAACAGAAAGACATCAAGGTGGAGAGGAGGAAGGAAGGGGGAACAGAAAGACATCAAGATGGAGAGGAGGAAGGAAGGGGGAACAGAAAGACATCAAGATGGAGAGGAGGAAGGAAGGGGAAACAGAAAGACATCAAGATGGAGAGGGGGAAGGAAGGGGGAACAGAAAGACATCAAGATGGAGAGGAGGAAGGAAGGGGGAACAGAAAGACATCAAGATGGAGAGGAAGAAGGAAGGGGGAACAGAAAGACATCAAGGTGGAGAGGAGGAAGGAAGGGGGAACAGAATGACATCAAGGTGGAGAGGAGGAAGGAAGGGGAACAGAAAGACATCAAGGTGGAGAGGAGGAAGGAAGGGGGAACAGAAAGACATCAAGATGGAGAGGAGAAAGGAAGGGGGAACAGAAAGACATCAAGGTGGAGAGGAGGAAGGAAGGGGGAACAGAAAGACATCAAGATGGAGAGGAGGAAGGAAGGGGGAACAGAAAGACATCAAGATGGAGAGGAAGAAGGAAGGGGGAACAGAAAGACATCAAGGTGGAGAGGAGGAAGGAAGGGGGAACAGAAAGACATCAAGATGGAGAGGAGGAAGGAAGGGGGAACAGAAAGACATCAAGGTGGAGAGGAGGAAGGAAGGGGGAACAGAAAGACATCAAGATGGAGAGGAGGAAGGAAGGGGGAACAGAAAGACACCAAGATGGAGAGGAGGAAGGAAGGGGGAACAGAAAGACATCAAGATGGAGAGGAGGAAGGAAGGGGGAACAGAAAGACATCAAGGTGGAGAGGAGGAAGGAAGGGGGAACAGAAAGACATCAAGATGGAGAGGAGAAAGGAAGGGGGAACAGAAAGACATCAAGATGGAGAGGGGGAAGGAAGAGGGTACAGAAAGATATCAAGATGGAGAGGAGAAAGGAAGGGGGTACAGAAAGACATCAAGATGGAGAGGAGGAAGGAAGGGGGAACAAAAAGACATCAAGATGGAGAGGGGGAAGGAAGGGGGAACAGAAAGACATCAAGATGGAGAGGAGAAAGGAAGGGGGAACAGAAAGACATCAAGATAGAGGATGATGAGGAGAGGATGAAGAAAGGGGAAGGGACAATCATAAAAGTGAGACTAGTCTGTTTTTCTGCAAGACATTTTTATTTATGCATGAGATTTACTGTTCAATGAAAACAGCAATGAGCAGTATTGTAACACTTTTCTCGGATTGATTTATCAAATAGAAAAAATGTATTATTTTTAATGTAAACATTGGTTTTCTACATGTAGTTGCCTGAGTTCAGGATCTTTGTTTTTCATTTGAGATTTTAAATGATTTTTTGTGGAAATGAGAGAGCTAAGCCACACCATCGGCCCACGCTGAAGAGAGTATGTGTATCCCCGTTTGATCTATCTAGGTCTTTAAATCTGTGTATCTCACAGATTTGGGAAATGCTGATTTCCTCACTACTGCTACAGCCCCTGCACGAGGCTAATAGCTCCTGACTTACATCCAGCATATGTACATTATAACAGCAGTGTAGTTTGCTCGCGCAGACCCTTGTCAGACGTCAATCCTTGAGCATTACAGAGTGTCTCCACTGTGAGACTACATTTACCGCACTCTTTAGCTACTCTTGACACAACCAGAGACTGACAGAGGTAGGCTCAGCTCATAGGCTTTAGGAATTGTACTAAAGGATTAAATTATAATCTGTCTGCACTGTGAGACTATGGTGACTGCATGGTCTACTGGACACCATAGGCTCTGTACTATAGCTGCTCCTGCACTCAGCTTGTGTGTGTGTGTATTGTGTTCTTACAGACGTGTGTCAATCAGATATGATTATTTACGCTTGAGACTGACAGAGCTAGGCTCAGCTCCAGGCTCTATGGAATTGTGGTTAAGTGTCAAATCAGAGTCTGTACCCGCAGACTAACAGCAGTGCATATAATTCTATTTATGGGTATGTTCTTCTACTGCATACAGATTCACTTAGCTTGATATTCTGTAGACCCGTGCAGGCAATATTTTAGAATTGACAGATACCCTTGGCTTGTGGATCAAACACATTAATAGCAGTTAACCTTTTCAGAGATGCATACCAACTTCCTGTCATACCAGTTGTGAAAGTATTATATCAGGTTATTATTATCTTACACAAATACATACATTTTTAACATGTTATTGAACTTGGCTTGTCTCCAATCCTCCATCGACCCAAAATGCTGTGGAGCAAAAAATAGAAGAAAAAAGGAGCGATGAGAAATTAAGCTTTCAAAGGCTCCTAAAGGGCTCTGGTAAAAAAATAATTAAATACTTTAACATCGTTGTGAGAAAATTGCACTTAGGGTATACAACACCAACTCCCAAAAGAGGTCCCGCTAACAGAAAAAGTATTTTTTACACTGGCTATGTATATGAGTTGTGCAAGAAAGAATTTAGTTATATCAGAGATATCTTGTGGCATGTCTCTAGTTTTAAATATTGTAATAGTGGAATCTGCTGTCGGGTTCTAATCAGAGTTGTGGAAAACCATATTTAAAACATAATTGGCTAGTACCTCTGATTATTTTACATAATCGCCCACAAGCTCCTCACATGATTTTCCCCAACGTAATTCAATTACGAATCCTGATGATTTTTTTTTGTAAAGGTAAAAAACGGTTACCTAAACAGTGCAAACTGTGGATGACCTTGTTTGTTTCTAATCATGCAAAGAGAGCAATTTCTCTTCTTCCTTTTTTTTCTTTTAAAACTTCCGCAGGAGAAGAGAGAAAATATCCACCTTCCTATTCTGCGCAGCCCAAAGCTTCCTATGTCAATAGAAGCAATTAGAGTGTAGCAAGGTCCTGTAAAACTGCCAAATCCGTAGCAGACACAGCCGCCAATTGCCCTGCTGTAGTCTAAAGATTTGAGCTGCATTTACACTGCAGCCACAAATCATTGGTTTCGCATAGATCCAGAGCAACTACCACCAAACACGACGAAAAATCGAAAAAGCCACCTCTGGTGTATTTTTGTTTACACCCGCAGAAGTTTCACTGTTTTTTTGGCAGTGTAAAAGCAAATTTCGGTGAGGTACCGTTTACTGGTCACGTGACTCTCCTCACTCCCGTGCTTATGTATGCAGGGTATGCAGGGAACCGAAGAGTCGCGCATGCGCCCTTCTAGCCCCAAACCGGTATGAGCAAACTTCAGCCGTTTTTCATGGGTTTTTCCCCATAGTATAAATGGTAGAGTCTAAAAATCAATGTTTTTCGAAACGGTCTTTAGGGATGTGTAAATGGGCCCTTGGTTTATGACCGGGATTGGGAAGTTCACGATTCGTGACTTTCTTGAGGAGTGAAGGACGGTTTAATATTGTGTTTGCAGGTTTTAGTGTCACAGGGAAGGTGATAGACTTGCTGAATCTCCTCACAATTGATTTTGTGTTCTCACCCTTGTCTGGATCTGTGATACAATCTTGGCTGAACTTCATCACAACCTTGTGGAATATCTGTAGGCAACATTTTTATTTCTTCAGTTTTGACACCTTGTCTGACATTGTGATAAGATCTATGCCGAAACTTTATCACAAACTTTCGCAATTTCTATAGTCCAGACGATATGCTCTGTCTTAACTTTTAACACCTTGTCTGCATGCTGATAACATCTAAGTAGAAGTTACTTACTTGAAGAAAGGGAGTCTACCTGTTGATCATATAATACATTTCGTTCATCAAAACAATAAAGAGATCGAGGTCATAACAAAGGTATTTTATTCGAGCCACATTAGTGGATTTGAAAGGGCATACCATTTTCTTGAAAAAGAAGCTATATTTTCATTAGATTGTATGATTTGTACATAAATATATTGACACTTGAAAATTAAATAATTAAAACGTTGCATATCTTTTAGCCCTTGCTTCCCCCTTGCTCCCCCACCCCCCCCCCCTCATTCCCCAAAACTGTATCAACTTTCAGGGGCGACCTATAACTTTCTAGAGCTAAAATGTGCTTATTCGAGCCACATTAGTGGATTTGAAAGGGCATACCATTTTCTTGAAAAAGAAGCTATATTTTCATTAGATTGTATGATTTGTACATAGATATATTGACACTTGAAAATGAAATAATTAAAATGTTTCATATCTTTTAGCCCTTGCTTCCCCCTTGAAATTCTTTGTTTATTCTTTAAAAAAAGTTATATTCTTATCTTCATGTCTAATCTTATACAGTACTCCTCATCAGTGTCAGAATAGATAGAAAGTGTACATGTGAGCAATAAGAAAAAGATTTAGCTAATCTTGTCATTATCCAGCGTGATTAACTACACAAACAGTTACTCTGATCAAGAAGAATCAGAGAAAAAAGGTTTCTGGAAAGATCTTGTTGAGAAATAGTAGGGTCCCTTTATTTTTCCTTCTGCCTGCATGGGTACCATACTTAATCAGGAGACGCCGCAGGATTTGACTAGGGCTGGAAGTCCACTTATCGCAGTGTCCTCAAATTACTCCTGCCTTGCTGAACTGAGCTCAAAATCGCATGCAGAATTTGGCAGTAGCTAGACAAGCTCTTGTTTCTCCCGATTTGAGCCAGGGTTAGAGCCCTGTTTGCACGGAGCGAGTTGAAACGTGGTTCATTGGTACTCCTTTGGTTCGTTGGTACTCCCTTGCAGTCAGTAACAGGTATCTTTGTAAATTAGTTTTTGTTTCTTTGCAATATGATGTGTATAATTTGTGTATTTACATTTAGACCTACATATATCTGTTTGGTTTTGCTGTGAGAATAATGTGTTGCATGTTGTTCTTGATGTATGCATTCACACTCAAGAAAAGTGAGATTTGTTTCATAGTTGACATCTCTTCTGTTTTGCACCCAAGACACATGGAATGAATGAATTTCTTATCTTGTTTCTGCTGACTTTCATGTGTAAACATTGCGCAAGACAAATAATTCAGTTAAAGGTAAAGACCAGTATTGGAAACGCCCCAATTTCAAAAAATGAAATGCAAGCTCTTATTACCAATCATGTGAAAGAATATGTTTTGAATAATACATGATGATAAAAATGTTGACAGGAAACCGCCTACTAATTGATATACTTGGTAAATTAGTGTATCTCTCGCCTGTTGAGAGATACAAATGCATGTGTCGCGCACGTGTGTGTAGTCCCATATACATCTTTCTGTGTACAGTGATTCTAACTTTATAAAGACTTAGCCAAATTTCTTATCATTTTGATGATTCCAGAACCTTGCAGTACATCTATGCTAGATGATCAACCTTTTCTGATCGATTTCACAATGTTTCTTTCACAATGCAATCGCATGACCATAACTGGTCTTTAGCTTTAAATTCATTTTTAAAGTAAAATATTCATGGAATTTGAATTGCAATTAGAATCTCTAAGTAGTAAGACTTTTCACAAGAAAAAAAACTTTCTGATTGTGATTCAAAATTGTAATTTTTAGATCTGACTAATCTTGCCTTGCTCCATGTGTGAACAACCCTAATGTTAGCTTTGACAATCACAGGAATAGAGGAGTGTGTTTACATTAGCACACCGAGGACAAGTCTCAATTTTTTTCTTCTCTCTACTGTATCTGTTTGATGAGAGGAAATAGTAGCTTTGTTTGGACGTTCATGTAGGCCACCACTTGACAAATTTGATCCAATATTTCAAGTAGTTTTGATTTGTAACCTTTCCTAAGGATCGAGTTGCATGGTGAATTCTATTTGGGGAGACATAGTCAAAGGATATTGCTTATATTTTGAGCGTAAGTTTATCAGTGTGATACAGATTACAGGTGTCTGTAAGCCTGTTCAGAAAAAAGGAAATTTATAAGAAAATCATATGAAGAAACATCATAAAAAGAATCATCATATAGCGAAAAGGGCATGCAGACTAGATTATCATTGTCTGAAGAATGTTGTATAAAGAAATTAGTTTTTAAGACGTCGGTTGACATTACAGCTGGCAGATCATCAGTGCGCATTCATTATAAGCCCCGCCCAGTTATACAATTTTCCTAAGATATAACTTAAGACTTGAACAAAACACAGATTCTGATGTTCAGTCTAGTATAGCTACCATA